AATCCCATCTCCAAGTCCGAACTCGTCACGGGCACCATCAATCTTGCATAGTTCCACAATTATATAGCGAACATAATCTTCTACGGCGACTTTCTCATAAATCTCAAGACCCTTTTCACTGCAAATTGGCTCAAATAATCGTTTAGCATCCTCTTCCAGTGCAATAAGGGGCGTAAACAATCGTGCTCGCGCTTCCTCCGTGAATTGTAGGTAGTTACACACTGAATTGAAGATTTCTTGTTGTTTAGCAGCACATTCGGTCCACGATTCCAGGCGCGTGGGGCAATACTTTCCGATGGGGAGCGGTATTGTCCCAGTGGTCGAACGAGACGGAGTTTCAGCTCTCAGCGGGCGGGAGAGTAAGTTGTGGCAGTGGCGTATCAACTCTGTAAAAGTCGTTCGTTGGGTGCGCGCTTCTGCTTGCCGCTGCCTCTCCTCTGCTTGCTGCAGCCTCTCCTCAGCTTGCTTCCTCCTCTCCTCTGCCTGCCGAAAGAGAGCTTCATAATCTCGCGAGCTCTCGCCGACCATCGTTGTGCGAGGATAGGAAAGTAATGAGTGAAGAATGGATTGCTCTTGGACTGGCAGGGTGGAGGGAGTGGAGCGAAATACGCAGCTCCGACTTGACCGAGCGGTGACAGCGGGCTTACAACAGCGAATCACCGTTCACGATTAGTTCACTAACTTGATGTAGTTAGCAAGTCACCTCTGGAATCTATATACAATCACACATTATTATATATCCATATCACGTATCATTTTAATATTATAAACTGAGATACCAAAAAGTAGTCCACATATGGATGTTTCAAAGTACCCTATGTTCGATAGATTACAGAGGTGGCCAGTCTGCTTACATGACCGGTCCGCTTAGTTACCGACGATATACTAGTTAACTACGGGTAGTTGGCTAAGTATTGCTATCACCCCTTCCATAATTACCGAGTTTAGCATTTGTTGTCATTAAATATGTTATACTATAGATATATCAAATTACTATACTATTGCACGAGACAATGCTGTCAATTAATCAAATAATGAAAATAGTCTCCCACAGTGGTATAATAGATTAAGAATGACTGTTTTGAATGATGCTCGCCCATTGGTATCTCTGTCTACGTATTCGAGGGCGCTTGCAGACAGAAATGCTGACCATCCAGGATCTTGGGAAGCATGTACACAATATTAATCCATTCATGTTACACGTAGTGAATCCATATGGCCATTATAAAAAGTCTCTGTGTATTTCCTAGCCGCAACCCGAAAAAAAAAAAAAAAAAACAATAAAATCACTGCCCCTTGCTCTGATGCTCCGGTGTGCCGTTAATGACCAGATCGGCGGGGAGACGCTTTTCAGAAATAGTCTGCGCATTGAGGAAGTCGTTCTGATCCACCCTTCTAAAGCCATCCTCAAGAGTTGGTTCGATCCCCGCCTGAACATGTCGCTTTGCAACCCGCTCCCTAGCTACCTGTAGATCCGCCTCCACAAAGATACGATAGTCGACCATCGAAGCCACATCCCGCCACTGCGGCTCGTCTAACAACAAGTAGTTACCCTCCAGGATGAGAATTGACGTGTCTGGGGTGATGCTGATGCCATCGGTGACAGGGTCCTTCTTCTCGTGATCAAATGAGGGGGCATGTAAGATCTCTGAAGAGGAGGGAGACGGAGGTGGCGTAGTCTGATTGAAACAAGGAGTTGTATCCTTCTCTGCCCAGTGGCGTAACTTCTTAACAAAGGCGATGAACCCCGTCACATCAAAGGTCCATGGGGCTCCTCGCCGGACATAGGCTTCCTCCCGGTTGGGAAGTTGGTCCAGCTCTGCGCGCGATAGGTGGAAGCCATCCATCGGAACACATACTGTCTGGCGGCGAACGTTTGCCGGCATTGCATTCAGGTGCTCAGTGATAGCTTTTGCCAACGTGGTCTTTCCAGAGCCTGGGGCCCCTGCGATTGCGACAAGAAATCTAGGTTTGTCGTGTACGACGGCGCGGCTGTATATTGATTCGACGACTTGTGCATATACGGTGTCCATGTTGATATAAATATTGTGGCAAGTCAAGCAATATGCGAATTATAATCTTTGGGTTTATATCAGTATAGCTGTTTCACAAAATCAAGAACGCGACATACTATTGGTTCACCTTGGTGAATGAGGGTAAAGGAAATGGCTTATGATCGATATACTAAGGCTTCAAGTAAACGGAGAGAGTCAGAGACGGCGAAGGAATCTTGCTCCGCTTTTAGGTGAAGTCGATCCTTGAGAAAGGCAACATAAACTCAGCTTCGCGGATCACAGTCGTCCGGCACTGCCAGGATCCCGACATTATCTCCCTGTGGAGAAGCGTTCAATTGGGCCACAATGTCGTATGTGGAGTTACTGGCCCTCTATACCGACTTATCTTGATTTTGGTCGAAGACGGACGGCGGAAGGATCTTCAAGATCACTTATCCTGTTGATCCTAGTATAGGCGGAGCCCTTCAACAGTGACTAGTACTATGTATAGATCTTTGAATACTTGTGTTACTACAAGATAGAATGTGTTTGTGTTGCAATTCCAAATTAATTAATAATAAAAATCTCTCTCATTTCCATTTTTACAGTTCGTTAAATTCGATTAAATCTTGTTCTGCCGGCCCTGATAGCCCTCGATAATCACTTTGATGACGCTCTCCTTCCCTTGTCGGGCCAGTTCAAAGGCCTGCTCTGCCTCCTCGAACGTATACCGGTTGGTAATGAGACGCTTGACATCCACCTTTCCGCTAGCAATTAAGTCCACGGCTGTCGAATAGCAACCAGTGCTGTACCGAATAGAGCCGCGGATAGTCAGGTCGCGAATACACGCGGTTGTGATGGGAAACATGACATTCTATAAAGCCCCTTATGTTAGTTTACTTTCCCCAATTTCCGTGGTCGCAGTCACTGGCACAGTATCACTCACCTCACGTCCCATTCCGGCTTGAACATAAGTACCACCCTTCTTTGTCAGGTGTATTCCAGTCTGAATGCAAGGCTGTGCACCAGTAGCCTCAAGCACAACATCAGGGCCCTCGCCCAGGTCAAACTGCTCCTTAATAATCTTTGCCAGCTTCTCACTCCACTCCTCGGGAGCCACGTCCGCTGGAGGCGGAGGCGGTACAAAGACATCGTCTGCGCCAAAGGTCTTTGCAAACTCTGCACGAGACTTGCTAATGTCGACGCCGATGACCCTCTTGGCACCGTATGCCTTACTCACAGCCTGGCAGAGAAGGCCAATAGGCCCGCAGCCGAAGACCACAATCTTCTGGTTTGCCTTTACATTCCCGACCTTGGTAATCTGGCAAGCAACAGCTACTGGTTCGACCATAGCTCCTTCCTCCATGTTCATATGGTCAGGGATCGGGTAGCAGAAGTCAGACTGGGTGATGTAGTATTTTGACAACGTTCCATCATGGGGAGGCGTTGCTGCGAAGCGGTCATTCGGACAGAGGTTGTACGAGCCACTGTGACAGTACTCGCAGCTAGAATATTCATCAGAGATCACTCGCTGCCACCAAAAGGATTCATGGATACGTACTGTCTGCAGGGAATACCAGGCTCGATGGCGACCCGGTCGCCGACCTTGAGGTTTTTCACGGCTGACCCAACTTCCATAACAGTTCCTGAGCTTTCATGGCCGAGAACGATGGGGCTTGTGAGAATGAAATCTGGATGTCGTTGATTAGACGAGTTTCGTTTCTATGTGGACTGTTGGTTTATCATCACTTACCGCCGATTCTCCCTCTTTGCCAGTAGTGTACGTCAGACCCGCAGATACCTGTTTGCGCGATCTGAACCCGGACATCCCAGGGATCCTGCAGTGCGGGTACTGGTCTGTCCTCGAAGGCGACATCCTTAACAGCCTTGAGGACGAAGGAGGGGTTTGAGTCTTGCTATTTCTCCGAGGAGCCACTTTAGCAAACTGTCGTCCATACAAATATTAATACACAATGTATAACTTACCACCATGATGAATATACGTTTATATGAAATCTCACAGTCAAATGACGCGGTTATTTGAGAAAAGGTCCAAATAAAGAGTCTCCTCGACAAGAACTCATCTCATAAAAATGAATATTTCCCATCTGATATATACTCCGCAAAAACATAGATCCATGTCTACCCCGCGAGATGAGCTCCGAACCCCACCCATCCACATCGATGTCATGTCGGACGGGCACGACAGCCCGCCATACCACAGCGGGGGAATGCTGGTCCGGACACGAAGCCCGGACCCAGTCCGAACGGAATGGGGCCTCCGTCTCGGCTAGACCTCCTCGGACAGTGGGCTGACGGACACACAGCACGTCCCAAACTCAGACGGTCCGTGGTTTCCTTCGGCATGCACAGAACGTTTTGTGGGGGTACCGGTGTCAATGTGAATTGAGGTCGACAGGTGTTACTCCACTCGTTGGCATGGTCTAGATCTCAGTTGGAAGTTATGTCGGACGTTGTTGGGGGACATGGTTTATTGAGCAGTGTTTCTGTTGCCTGGATTGTTTCGAACCTGGTTATTGATTTGACTCTTATGTTCTTGAGGTGTGTTTTGATATTTGTATTGGCTTAGAGGTATGCGTATTTGTGAGGTAGACATGATCTCGTTGAACATCCGAAATATATATTTACAGAAGTCAAAGCAGCATAACCCACTATGGCGATTGGAGAACGAGCGCATAGAGAAATTAATACTAGCAACAGCAAGAAGAAAAAAAAATAAAATAATAAAAATAAATAAATAAATAAATTTGATGATAATTTAGCGGAGAAAGAATAAAACTTTACAAATTGCATCAAAGGTTTTATAGGAGATAAATGATATTCATAGCTGTAGGCCGTAGCAACATACTAAATAACATGATGCAAAAAACAAAGCGGCACCATTGAATGCATCCCAAAATGCCTCAACTGAAATCCACAACCGAAAACCCCTTTCACCAAGTCTATATGCTCTAAAAGTAAAGTCATCATAAAGAAACATAACATCTACCGGCAAGTGTAGCCACCATCGACAACGATATCCGAACCCGTGGTATAGGTGCTTGCATCGCTGGCAAGATACAGGTAGACACCTTTAAGCTCTCTGGGATCGGCATCACGCTTCAACGGGGTCAGGCTGTACCACTCCTCCTTCATCTCGAATGGGCAGTCGCCACTGATAGGGGTGTCGATATAGCCAGGGCTGACGGAGTTTACCCGAGCGAAACCAGCCCATTCGACGGCCAAAGACTTGGCCAGGTGGATAACACCAGCCTTGCATGCATTGTAACAGGCCTAAAGCGTACGCAGTCAGTTGTATGCGCCGACGTATTGAGTGGCGCAAGATTTAATGAAACATACCTGCTGCTGAGGGACATTGGCGGCATGACCCGACATGGACGCAGTGAAGATCATGTTGCCCGAGCCCTGCTTGCGGAAGATCTCTCCAGCCACACGCGCGCAGTAGTAAGCACCTGAGAAGTCGATATCCACCACGCGGTGCCAGTCCTCAAGACGGTCATCAAGACCGCCTGCCTTGGAGGGGATTCCAGCGTTGGCGATCATCACGTCCAGACGTCCGAAGTCTGTGACAACAGCTTGGGTAGCAGCCTCAACCTGTACAATATCATCATTAGTGGGCAGTGGACAAAAGCCACAATGCGACAGGGATGATGGTGTGGCTGCATACCTCATTAAAGTTCTGGACCGAGCACTTGTACGCCTTGCACTTCACGCCGAAGTCCTGGGCAATTGTCGCAGCCCGATCTTCAGCTTCGCTGGAGTTGTTGTACCAGAGGGCAACATCAGCACCAGCTTCAGCTAACGCCCGACCGACTTGGTAGCCGATACCACCCGAGCCACCAGTAATGATAACAACCTTGCCGTGCATGTCGAACATCTTGAAGACGCTGTCCGGCAGCGTGGGGTTAGGCCAACGGATGCTCTTCTGTGCAGCAGCCATATTGTGGGGTATTTGAACGTCGAAGTTAAGAAAGGGGTTGATAGAATGCGTTTTAAAGTTGCAACACAGCGAAGAGTATTGGTTTTCTAAGGTGTGATATCGCCTGACATCCATCTGGTCTCAGTAGGATGTTTTATACTCTCCATGCTTCCCCAAGGTCCACGACAATGCCCATCAGGATTGTGAAGTCCATCGCGGATTCTCGGTCCATATCTCCCACTACGCATGTCACTGTCCGCCATCTTGATTCCGTGACCCACGCGAGAAAAGACTGGAGTCGGGATGGTATCTCCCATATCGCCCGAGACCGGACGAGGCAGTCCGCTGGAAACGGCCCCGCCTGCCCGTTCCATCTCTAAACTCGATTCGGCCATAACCACGAGTCAAGCCCCACGCTTCCTGTCGGCACTGAAAAAGGCTCGAATAAGTCTACTAGTAATGCTTTAGCCGGTTTATCCCCGCATGCTGCCACCAGTTAAACTTTCTGGGGTAGTCTCAGCCCCGGTCACGGTATATGACCAACCCTGCCGTATCAGCGACGATGGATGGAGATGGGGCCATCCGTACGCAATGCCTTAGTCAATGATGTAGCCTCCAGCCGTTTATTTATATACCTGGAAATCGAACTAGTTCGCGGACGCACTAAATACTTCCGATCCAGGTCTGGCTTCACATCACAACTATTCGGCCACTATGAAGGACCAAGATATTGTTGGAGAGGCACTCGCTGCCGTCCTACCCCAGCATGGCAAGCCCTGGTTCAGGGTACCTCATCTTTTAAAGCTCAATCTCATTCTTCTGGTCCCCTTATTGTCATCAGCCGTTGCTGGATACGATGGTACGTCCCGGATGGCGCTCCTGGTGCTGCAAGACGGCTAACTTAGGGGGTTGTAGGTTCCCTGATGAACGGTTTGCAATCTATTCCTGAATGGAAGAGTTATTTCGGAAATCCAACTGGCTCTATCCTCGGTGTCGTAAACGCAGCCCAATCCATTGGAAGCGTGGTGTCCTTGCCAGTCATAGGATGGCTTTCTGACCGACTTGGCCGACGATTGACACTGTTATTGGGTGCATTCACCATCGTGGCCGCTTCTGCAATCCAGGCTGCCTCCGTTAAATATGGCATGTTCGTATTCTCACGGGTTCTGGTTGGTGTTGGATCGATGCTGGTAGTCCAACCAGCCCCCATGCTGATTACGGAGCTGGCATATCCCACCCATCGTGGAAAGTATACAAGGTATGTCATTCGGAAAGGGGACAAACGACAAATGTATCCTTTGCTGACGAGCACTCCTGCATCAACAGTGCCTTTTGGACGATGTATTATTTAGGTGCCATTCTGGCCTCGTGGACATGTTACGGGACACAGAGAAACATGACAGACGACTGGACATGGAGAATACCATCAATTATCCAGGCAGGATTTCCAATTGTCCAAATATTGTTCTGGTGGTGTGTTCCGGAATCACCAAGGTATGGCTCCCATGGCAATTACAATAGCCAACCACCAGTCTAGGTTTTCTGTTTAGTAGAAGAGGCAATTATTCTAACACTCCCTGCAGATGGCTCATCGCGAACGATCGAAGTGAAGAAGCAGAGGAATTACTCGCTCGTTTCCACACTGCCGGAGACATCAGCCACCCTTTGGTGCAGTTCGAAATGTCAGAAATCATTCATACCCTCTCGATGGAGGCTCGAGCGTCCCAGGTACCATGGTTGACTCTGGTCAAGACGCCTGGGAATAGAAAGAGAACATTCATTGCGGTCTGCGTCGGAGCATTTGCGCAGTGGAACGTAGGTTACTGTGTCCACTTTCTGTCATGTTCATCGAAACCATACTAACCATGATTTTTGCCCCTTGCATAGGGTGTTGCTGTCGTATCCTATTATCTCACTCTTGTCCTCGATACCGTCGGAATAACCGATTCCGATACACAAACCCTGATCAACGGCCTACTACAAGTCTTCAACTTCATCGCAGCAGGAAGTGCAGCTTTGCTGGTAGACCGCCTCGGACGACGCACCTTGTTCCTCTGGTCCGCCGCGGGAATGCTAGTCTCGTTCGTGATATGGACCGCATGCTCGGCCGTCTTCGACACCAGCCAGGCCGCCCCGCTCGGTAATACTGTTATTGCCTTCGTTTTCATCTTCTATTTCCATTACGACATCGCATACACCCCGCTTCTATTGGGGTATCCCACTGAGATCTTCCCTTACTCAATCCGAAGCAAGGGTGTGACGACGACGCTGCTGTCCGTATACTCCTCACTGGTTATCCTTGCGTTCGTCAACCCAATTGCGTTGGAAAATATCGGATGGCACTATTATATCTTCTTCTGCTGCTTTGACCTCCTCGTTCTTGCAGTGACTTTCTTTATGTTCCCTGAGACAAAGGGTCACTCGCTCGAGGAGATTGCACAGATTTTCGACGGGCCATCGGCGGGAACCGGTGGTCTTGAGGTCGGAAAGAAAGATTATGATGACACTATCACGCGGGAACATGCTGAGTACGCTGGCTAAAGACCTGCAGCTCTTACAACGCCACCTGTTTGTCGGGTGCCAGTATTACTAGAGTCTGGGCCCAGGAATCAGTAAAGACTGGTCGTTGTTTTATTTTATAGCGGTGTATTGTGTTTTTGATATGTAATCTTTAGAGAATGGATATACTTCTCCACTATTCCAAATGTTTTCTTACCTCACTTCCGAGCTTTTTTTTATCGGTGTAAATATACAATCCCTATATTAGACGTGAGGGGAGATAAGCACCCTTCTTGAGAAGCATCGAAATTCATAAAATAGCCCACCGTTCATTCAATGTGGTTGATGGCAATTCTGGTAGGCTGCGGGAAGCTAGTCTACCCAACGAAACGCCTCAACTGACATGTTTTCGTGGTTCGCATACGGATCTATCGCCGCTGTGCTGCTCAACATGTCGCCGATAGCAGCGTACCAAGCCCTTGAGATAGTATAAGTAGTATAAAATTCCATGTCGTTGTTTATCGGTAAATATACGGGTCCAGGAGTTGGATCTATATTTGAAGAAAGTTGACTCAGTGCATTTTGATTCCGAGTTTTAACGACAGTCGTCAATATTCCATTGCGTACACGGAATTGGAATGCCTCCAAATATCCCGAGTACATTATTCCCCCGCTCTGACATTCGGAGCATCCCGGCAACCTCAGGTCTTACTGAATATTGTGGTTAGCTTATAACTTGTGGTGCAAGGGTCGCCCTTAACTTGAACATATATTTTGTGCCGCTTTAACCAGCATGCCTCGGACTCTGCGGAGGGCTGTACCCTATAACCACGTTAGGTAGGATAGCCAGACGGGTGCTTCTATATGAATGAATAGAGCGTCGTTGCGGTATCGCAGATGAGGGACGCTCTGGGTATGATGTGCAGATCAGTCCTATGACCTGGCTTGGTAGTGGCCCATTTGGACAACTGGGAGAACTAACCTGTTACAAAGGCCCTGGAACTTGGGTTGCCCCGCATCGAAACCTCATATATCCGTTAGTCGCTACGAATCAACTTCGCCAGCTAGCCAGTGTCAAATTAGTCAGCCCCCAAGGATCACTGGCTGGCGTAATTAAATGGTGTCAAGTCAGATGACCCTTATCATAGCGAGCTTATTTGCTGGAGCGGTTCGTGACCTCGGTGCATGACTCCTAGAGCAGATATACACGTTCGCGATAAGGGACTGCCGGGCATTCGCAACCTCTCGATATCACGAACGATACGGGAGATACTAAGTAGCTGCAGACATATATTCACAAGTCATCCGGAATCCCTTCAGTATATACCTCAAACACCGTTCATCCACCTGCTCTACAGCTCCAAAATCATCTTCCCCATTTGTGGCTTACTTTGTATCGGCGACATAGCAGAAATGGATGCCAGAGAACCACCAGTCATTGACTTTGCACGTTAGTCTCTATGCTTATCCTAACTACGAGATATTTATCAAGATCGCAGCATTCTATGGCCCAGAGGGCGCCGCAAAGGAACAATTAATAAATGAGTTGCGGCAAGCCTGCAAGGAGTTTGGTTTCTTCCAACTCATCAATCATACCATTCCAGCACGCCTGCAGGAATCTGTTCTTCAGCAGAGCAAAGAGTTCTTTGACCTTCCATCATCAATAAAAGAAATATATAGCCAAGGTAGGTGCTCATGATGAACGTAGCTAAGCATTGGTTTTGGCATTCCAGGCAGATACTAACTCATACATATGAATCACGTAGAGATCACTGGCGATAATCGCGGATATGAGCGCCTTCGGGCGCAGAACTTCGAGAAACGAGGCAAAGGTGACCTCAAGGAAGGTTTCTCCTTAGGTAACCACATCCCATTCGATGGTCCACAAATGGCGGCCAAAAAGTTTGCCCAGGGACCGAACAAGTACCCTTTGGAAGTTAGCGAACCTGCTAAGTTCCGAAGCGTCATGGATGAGTATCGAGATGCGATGACCTCACTTGCCAAGGGGATTTTGAAAATGTTAGCTCGGACTCTGCAACTAGAAGAAACTGCCTTCGACGCGTTCTGCGTAAATCCGATTGCTATCCTTCGGCTTCTTCACTATCCGCCACAGGATCCGGACAACTCAGATATTGAGAGAGGTGAGGCCTACCTGCCATTGATCGTGATTAGCTCTGACTTTAGTTGGCACAGGAATTGGTGCTCATACTGACTTCGGTGCCATTACCATGCTTCTCCAAGACGCAACTGGTGGCCTGCAGGTTTGGGACAATGCCTTGTCGGATTGGGTAGATGTAACCCCTGTACCGGGTGCCTATGTCGTGAACCTAGGGAATATGATGATGCGATGGACAAATGATCAATATCTATCTAACCTTCATCGCGTGATCAACAAGAGCGGTAAGGAGCGCTTCAGTGTTCCATTCTTCATGTCTGGTAACCCTGATTACATCGTCGAGTGTCTCCCAACCTGCACCGGCGAGGGCCCTAAATACCCACCCATAACTGTGGAAGAGTGGATGGCTGGGCGATATGCGGATACATATGGTACATCGAATGGAAAGGCAATGTCTGATCTGCGAAAAGTCCCTTCTTCTTGAGGCTATACCCTGAAGGTAGCGAAGACTTTTAGGCCCAGCATAATCTATACATGCCTCCGCCGTGGCATGTGTAGGGTTGCTGTCTATATTGAAGTCGATTTGCGCATGTGGTATATATAAATTGGAAAGTAATCTGTTTAACGCGAAATTTAACGTTCATCTGATGTGAGCGTAATGACAATGGATGTTCTTTATCGAGGAGGATTGGATGCGGACTCCTAAGAATTCACATCCCATAATATGAAGCAAAAGATGTTTCCTGGTGAGGAAGTATAATTGTGTGTATCAGAGTTATGATAGATCTAACAAGAAACTTAGACACCTCCAACCAGTATAAGCTCACGTGGAAATTGCAAATACAAGTGACCTACAACGCCTCAAGTTATTAATGTTCTAGGCTCGTCGATCAGTAATATAGTTTCGTACTACCGGGACAGACGTCCTCGCCAGAGAAACAAATACAAAGAAGTGTTTCAACACGTTGCAAAATGGCAGTAGACTTTGAGTCAAGATCGACGCCTCAGCCACGATGCCGAGAGCTAGTGGTGGATCTAGGATGCCTTACTAGTATTTACCGAGGTTTGCTATAACACTCGATGATATACGTGATAACATCATGGCAAACTGGGAAGTGACACCCGCTCACGTGGCCCAAGGCCTTTTGCCTCGCGTCACGACTTCGTTCCAGGATTCGTTCTGGACACCCGCAACGAATCATCACGCTCGATCCCCTTCGCCCCAAGATCCCCCGGATGCGTTGTCCTCCAATCTCGTTATGCCCAGACCACCTTCCAAGCCCTTAGCGCCCTCTGACTCCAAGGCTCTGTGGACGAGCTGTGTTGGGGATTCGCAAAGCTCCATGAAATCGGCCAAGATACTAATGTCTGGTTCCCAATAATATGTGAGGAGCGCAATGAGAACCCCTCACTGCCCTCCGCCTTGTACCTTGCCCTTCCCGCAGTGAAAGCTGGGGTATAAGTGGCTGGCCCAAGATCCCTGGAAACTGTCTGGAGCGGATCGCCGTTCTCTTTGATCGTCCTCTTTCCTCTTCAGCCACTTCCGCTCCCATCCATCCCATCCTAGTCCAATATTCCCAGTGAGCTCCAGAGCAAATACTCTCCCTTTCTTTTCATTTACTCTTTTGAATGGGCATTGAAACATCTCCACCCGATGTCGAAGAATCGACGGAGCCTCCTATATGTCCTTATCAGAAGGAATCTAACTTGCAACCAACGAATCGGCCCAATGATGTAAAGTCAGATCCCGAGCCTGAAAACCGGGTACAAGAGCAGAGTCCGACATCAGTGAAATCTGCACCAAATAACTTCTCTCGCCAGGAGGACTGTCGCAGCTCGTTACAGTATGCTCACACTATTGACCCAGAGCACTTGGCTGTCCTTCTCGACGTTGATGCTCGGTACGCTTCCCATATATCTGAAAGGACGCCGGGTCACATACTGACTGGGCATAAGCCATGGTCTCTCCAGCGCCGACTCGGCCACTCGCCTACAGCGAGATGGCCCTAACAGGGTCCGAGAGATGGAGGGTTTATCCATATGGAAAATACTGGTGAGGCAAGTTTCCAATAGTTTGACCTTAGTATGATCGCCTAGATACCTATTACTTTCTGCATCTCCGATGTAGGACGCACATTTTCATTCTCCTAACCGCAAAGCATAGGTTCTTTTGATCACCATGGCGATATCCTTTGGTATCGATGACTATATTGAAGGTGGAGTGATAACTGCAGTCATTCTCCTCAACATTGTTGTCGGGTATGCTTCCATTTTTCTTCTCTCTCCTGCGATTATCAATCTGCATGTTAGAAATTGTAACTGGATGATTGCGCCGGCTAATATTTGCTCATCTAGGTTTGTACAAGACTACCGCGCAGAAATGACAATCATGTCTCTGCACAGACTATCCGCACCTGTATGCAAGGTTCTGCGTGATGGTCAGGTTTCCTCGGTAAAAGCCGAGTCTCTGGTAGTTGGTGATATTGTGCAATTAGCGGTTGGTGATATCGTCCCTGCGGATATGAGACTATTCGATGGTATGAATGTCTCAATGGACGAGGCATTGTTGACTGGGGAGTCTTTGCCGGTGACCAAGACACCGCATATCACGCTGACCTCGCATGATGTACCGCTTGGTGACAGAACAAACATGGCATATTCTGGGTGCAGCACCACGCAGGGCCGAGCTACAGGAATCGTTACTGCTACGGGAATGATGACAGAAGTTGGGAAGATAGCTCAGCTACTTCAAGACAAAAGAGATCTGGGAAGCACTAACCCGTTCATCCAGGCGTTCCAGAATGTAAAGTCTACAACCAAAAACATCCTAGGACTCGTCGGGACGCCATTGCAGGTGAAGCTGAGCAAATTCGCCCTTCTCCTTTTTGGGCTTGCGGTGCTTCTCGCTATCATTGTCTTCTCTGTCAATAAATTCGACGTGCAGGGAGAAGTATTAATCTACGGTATATGTGTTGCAGTAGCGGTCGTACCTGAGTCCTTGATTGCAGTGCTTACCATCACGGTCGCGGTGGGTACAAAGGCAATGGCAAAGGGAAATGTCATTGTGCGTAAGCTGCAGTGCCTTGAGGCTGTTGGTGGGGTGACAAATATTTGCTCCGATAAAACTGGCACCCTCACACAAGGCAAAATGATTGCAAGAACGGCCTGGATCCCCCGTGCCGGTACTGTTACCATCAGCCAGACAACCAACCCGTATGACCCGACGAGCGGGTTGGTTCAAATTGACGAAGTTGACTGGCAACCGGACACCATACAGGGTAACCAAACACTAAATACCTTCTTGAATGCTATTTCACTATGCAACCTTTCAACCGTACACAAAGAGCAGCAGTCGATGTTGTCAGAAAAGGAGCCTGGACATGGTGCACAAATGAGGTGGATCGCCGTCGGGGAACCAACGGAAATTGCCCTTCAGGTCCTCGCGATGCGATTTGGCCTCGGAAAGCCAAGCATACTGCAGAACAGCAATTTGGAACTTCATACGGAATACCCATTTGACTCTTCTATCAAGCGGATGACGGTAGTTTACCGGAACCTTGAATTGAACATGAACGAGGTATATATGAAGGGAGCTCCAGAGGCAGTTATCCCTCGATTGAATAGCAGCGAAATAGAGCAGTCTTCGATTCAACAGACTGCAGACAGAATGGCTGGAGAGGGGCTGCGTGTTCTTTGTGTCGCGTACAAAAAGGTTCCTATTGATAAAGACTCTGAAGTATCCTCGCGTAGCACAGCTGAATCAAATCTGGCCTTTGGCGGACTCGTGGGACTCTACGATCCCCCTCGTGTTGAGACTGCCGCAGCAGTACGGAGATGCCAAATGGCAGGCATCGCTGTACACATGTTGACTGGTGACCATATTCGGACAGCAACCGCTATTGCATCGGAAGTTGGTATACTGGACCCCATTATGGGTGCGAAGTCCAGCCGATTGGTGATGGCAGCCGAGGAGTTCGATCGACTGTCCGAGTCTGAGATAGATGCTATTGAGCAGTTACCGCTCGTCATTGCGCGATGCAGTCCAACTACAAAGGTCCGAATGGTGGAAGCAATGCATCGGCGTAACGCGTTTTGTGTCATGACTGGCGATGGTGTCAATGATTCGCCGGCTTTAAAGCGCGCCGATGTAGGCATAGCGATGGGAAAGAACGGAAGTGACGTGGCTAAGGAAGCTGCCGATATGGTTTTGACCGATGATAACTTCTCATCCATTGTAAAAGCAGTTGAAGAGGGAAGACGGCTTTTCGATAATATTCAAAAGGTACACGATAGCGTTTCTACAGACATTATACCTTCGCTAACTGCTTACACAGTTCTTGATGCACCTACTCATCTCAAATATCGCACAGGTCGTCCTACTACTCGTCGCTCTAGCATTCAAAGATACGGAGGGAAACTCTATATTCCCCCTCTCTCCGCTAGAGATTCTGTGGGCTAACCTAGTCACCTCGTCATTTCTCGCGATAGGCCTGGGGCTCGAAGAGGCTCAGCCCGACATCATGTATCGCCCCCCGCATGACCTAAAGGTGGGGGTGTTTACCCGGGAACTCATCACCGACAAGATGATATATGGAACGTGCATGGGCTCGCTCTGTCTTGTGGCCTTTGTATGTGTTATCTATGGAAACGGCAATGGCACCTCTTCTATGGGGCACGACTGTAACGAATCCTGGAATGAAAGCTGTGGGGTTGTCTTCCGGGCGCGAGCGACGACATATGCAACTTTGACCTTTCTACTTCTGGTCACTGCCTGGGAGGTGAAGCACTTTTCACGATCATTATTCAACCTAGACCCGGGCCGATATCCCGGCAAATTGTCCGTGTTCCATTCCATCTGGCGCAACCGGTTCTTATTCTGGGCCGTGGTCGCTGGTTTCGTCATCGCTTTTCCGGTAATCTACTTACCAGCAGTAAATCGGATTGTTTTCAAGCATCAGGCCATTGGTTGGGAATGGGGCATTGTATTCGGGTGTGTCGTGGTCTACCTAGCGATGGTGGAGATCTGGAAAGCGACGAAGCGAGCGTTCGGTATCGGCAGCGGCAAGAACGCCACTCTGACCCTGGAAGATGCTGAGACGAGGGCGGGTCTTGTGTCCCCGGTCCTGACTCTGAGTGCCAACGCTAGTGTTGATGCCAGCGTCGAGATCAAGTAGTTGTGGAAGGGTTTCCTATAGGGGACAAGAGTTTCGGTCTAGGCTACCTTATGTTCAACCATAGGGATCCTCCGGGTTTTTAGTCTCGCATTACGGGACCTATTCAGGTGTTCAACACGTCTGTATTTTCTTTCTTGCGTTCTGTCCTGTTGTCTTTCGCGCTTTAGTGGTGCCATTCTGATTTAAGCCTAACCCTACTAGTGGTACAGTCACTCATTGCCATCTACACATCACTACTTATGCGACCAGAATGGAAGCAATTCAAAACAAAAGTAACCCTAAAATGATTGCCTCGGTGTCCGATTACCGCGTGGAGATCGGGTGCTAATCGGGGCCAGAACCTTAGGCCACCGATCGTGTTGATCATACGAGAAAGCGTCCAGGAGTATAACGCATGCCAAAGGTCCTAGAGAATTAATGTAGATCAATCTGAAGGAGCTATAGAGCGACGTGGTACAGCAATCGGAGTTTTCTTCACTTGGTAGAAATTGTCCCACAAGTCCGAGCATGTACAGAGAAGATGTTACTATTATACGACCTCAAACTCACGGTCCCCTGCAGCTCTGGTGGGGTCAAAGCTGCATGCGCGCTGACATGAGAAACAGACCAACGTCTGACCCCTCACCATTCTTATCCATCGCTCCCTCCCTCATTTTCCTTAACCTCTCAATTCTCTGAAACCATCCATCCTCGCAAAATGCGCATCCTCTGCCTCCACGGCCGAGGCACCAGCGCCCAGATATTCCGATCCCAAACCAGTCCGTAACCCCAACCCCAGCCTGCCCAAGAAATCACATAACAAACAAAATGAAAAACCAGCCTCCTTCCGCTCCCGCCTCGAAGACCTCCCCATCACCTTCGACTTCATCGACGCCCCCTACACCACCACCGCCGCCTCCGGAATCGACCTCTTCTACGAACCCCCCTACTACACCTTCTGGCGCAATGACTCCATCCCAGATCTCTACAAAGCCCGCGACTGGCTCCTAGACCTCATCGCCGAGAAAGGGCCCTACGACGCCGTCCTAAGCTTCTCGCAAGGCTGCAGCCTCGCAGCCTTAACCCTCCTCCTGCATGCCCACGAAACACCGCACGCACCCCCTCCGTTCAAAGCAGCCATCTTCATCTGCGGCGGTGCCCCACTACCCCTCCTCGAGGAACTGGGGTACAACATCACTCCGGAAATGCAAGCCCAGGATGCAGCGTCCCGGAAGAAATTATCCATTCAGGCCGATTCGGCCTCCATCCTGGCTAAGGGCGCGGACAGATGGAGTGGTGGCGACGATGCGGGGGAGGTGATTGACGAGGAGAGAATTCGGGGGGAGATTGAGCGGTGTGTGAATGGTGCCGTCAAGATCGGGGTTCCGACGGTGCATGTTTATGGACGCAAGGATCCGAGGTTTGCCGCGGGCGTACTGTTGTCGGGGGTTTGTGAGGAGCGCAACAGGAGGGTCTTTGATCATGGGGGCGGGCATGACATTCCTCGTACGTCGGTGGTGAGTGATCGTTTGGCGGAGTTGCTGAGGTGGGTGCTGCAGGAGGGGAGTGTTGTCTAGGTCTCTGTGTTGAGGTTGTTTGAGGGAGGTGGATTCATGCGGCCTTGCATAGACGTTGCCTATTATATTTTGGATTTTTAGAGAAATACTACCATGGCTGACAGGGTGACAGCTTTGTAAGACGTAGTGGACGGGGTTCGTGGGGAGTGAGGGCTTGGATTATTGTTTGTATTGTGCGCTTTGTAGGTTAGTTGGTTTAAAGGGGATGGAGAAGACATTTGCAGATCTGCGAGACTCATTTATAGATATTGGAGTCTAGCATATTGAGCTTATGCAAAGAGGGACTGGGTAAGTGGGTTAGTTGTCCGTAGGAGAAACCGCATATTACTTGGCTAATTGTATAGCTGGGCACCATACATAGCGAAAACGAATTGAAATCAGCGATTAAGCTCCCTTAATCCGCGATGCCAATACTAGACCCACGGGACAAGAACCAAAGCATAAGACATAGGAAACTGACAAAAAGAAGCGCATATTGAGTTATTTGTTGTATGCAAATGATCTTCAGTTCTGGGCGCATTTTTTCAATTTTTTTCGCACCATCTTCAAAACCTATACATTTTCAAACGCTTATAACTTAACCAACTTTTTATTAAATTGAATTCTGGTTGAAGTTTTATAATCAGCGGTATTCAAAGTAAAGAAAAGTTTCTGTTTTAAATCATTTAAAAGTAGTTTAGAAATATCGATTGTATAGATATATATATAGTGTTTTTAAGATAACGTTTATATGTCTGGATGATTAATTTTCCTATCTACGCTATCTAGATAATAGAGTATATTTAATAGTCTATTTCTATTATCCACAGTTAGAGTATCGCGATGAATAGATGGAACCAATCTGAGTAGAACAACTGGAGCATGAAATCTTTTGTTATGATTTGGCAGTCCCGGACTTCGTCTGGCCCGGGTTATTAATCCAATGAGGTTATGGAATTATCAACACCCATTAAAACAAATACTTAATTCCAGAGAGCCACTCCTCTGGATCACTAATATGGTAACGTGCCGAACCCAAGTTGAGATGGTGTGCCACAACGGCTTCAATCACACGGCTCTTTTGGAATAAACCCTGTAAATATTCATTCTGCTGGTCTGGATATGTCAATGCGTGTAAGATATTCGTTTCGAGTTCTTTTGCAGCAGAATACGTAATCTCTCCATGGAGCAGACGACGCGTTCGCTTTGTAGAAGGCAACATTGGGCAGCGATCTTGATGCAAGTACCGGCAAAGGTGATGTCGGACAAACAAAAAGGAAAGGTGATGGAGCCTCGATTTGATATCGAGGCCAGTCACCCTCGGGCAACATCATGGTTGCTTGCATACGGCGATGATATATGAGGGATGCAGTATAGTGAAAAAATTCCTGCACCGTGCTCTTGCCAGGGAGCCCGCAAGTTTGGTAACGATAGTGATTGCGTTGTTCCCTCAATACAAGTTTCGAATTTTAGTAGAATAAAGGGTGGCAAGTTTCCGTCAACACAGTTGAAAGGGCGGAAGTCCGCGGTTTATTCTGTATAGCTGTATCCTGAAGTTCAGTTCCAGGCCTCACTTTTTACCGACGCACTCTTCATATTCTTACTCCGACCGCAGACGTACTGCTCCGGTTCTCTGAAGCATAAGGGCAAATATTTATGCGGGGCTCATACAAGCACTTTGTGGAGAGGTCGCTAATCATTTTGGTTCCCAGCGTATGGCCCGCGTTGGAAACCGATATATATTTTGCAGGTCCCAGGCCATAGTTGCCGCTCGTCATTGCATAGCCACACTACGCTCAACTCAGCTCAAGACGATAAAACGCACAGCCATGAGGATAGTACTGCGCACCTTTCTGCATCCTGTCTTTTTTCTGGTCTCGCTCTACCACGGCTTGGCGGTCGCATTAGATACGCACGCCGCGACCGAGTGTCGTTCGATACGTAGCCAGGTTAGATTATCTTCCTGTAGCTCTATCACCTTCCTTTCAAGAAGCAAAACCGGAGCCTGTACAATCCCCTCCTGGGTACTACGCCTATCCAGACTCCGTTAATAACCGGCTGTATATACAAGCTGAACCTGGGACCAAGAACGTCTTTGCTTTCATCAATGATGTTCCGCCAGTTAATCTGCAACCAAACCGCTAGTTAGATTGCTTAGTCGCTCTCTCAGTTAAGTCCAAACTTCCCTTTGCAAGAGATTGCCTTACCAGGCAGATTAATAAGATTTTCTCAGGAAGTGCCGACAGAAGCACTCGACGAGCGTCGCGTTCATAATAGATCTCTAGTTCAGAGCGCCACACCAGGTGTCAACAGCAGTGTCCCCGAGTTCGGCGAACTGATCTGAAATGTCTTCAGACAACATATTAAAGAGATTTGTTCCGCGAGCGTTGTCAGCAGACCCTCCAAGCGAGTCTAGGTGCTCGTACTATTCAGCTACCTGGTAGGTCCTCGAGGATGTAGACATTGAATCGGGCACGTAATTCAGCCTACCATTACACAGAGAATCATGTATTTAGCCCTCCTGCAGAGTTTTCACCTCCTTACTGAATTCATCATCTTTATCGTCTCCTATTGCGGCTCCTGAGCGCTGCCGTTCCAGTATTCTAAAGAGGTCCCCTTATAGCAATTCGTATTAGAAGAAGTTTGATTGGGTAGATTGAACACTTGAATACTACTACTACTACTACTACTACTAACGTAACCCACAAACGAGCGGGCCACACAATCGAGCGGGCCACCACGCGTCATTTCTACGCGTCTGTTTTTTTTGAAGCTATTCAACCACTAGCCATACCACCAAAAATGCCTAAATTATCAAAAGATAAGGTGGAACAAGAGGGAAGGGTCTTATTAGCTATATCAGCTATTAAAAATAATGATATTAGCAATATTCGTGAAGCCGCGCGCGTTTTTAATATACCCCGTACAACATTACAAAGACGCCTAGCAGGGTATACATTTCGATCAGATTTACGCGCAAACAATCATAAATTGACTACTAGTGAAGAGGAATCGCTTAAGGAGTGGATTCTATCACTAGATCTACGTGGAGTGCCTCCTCGGCCTGCATACGTGGAAGAAATGGCCAATATTCTGCTTTCAAAGCGTGATACTACATCTCCCCCTACTACTGTAGGGATAAATTGGGTATCTAACTTTACCAGGCGTACGCCTGAGCTTAAGACCTGCTTTGCACGCCGTTATAACTATCAACGTGCTAAAACAGAAGATCCGAAGATCTTAAATGCCTGGTTTCAACAAGTAAATGAGGCTATTCAGAAGTACGGCATAGCCTTATCCGATATCTACAATTTCGATGAAACCGGGTTTGCAATGGGCCTAATCGCTACTGCCAAAGTGATTACTAGGTCTAGTACGCCAGGCAAGCCGTTTTTATTGCAGCCGGGTAACCGGGAATGGGTCACTTCTATAGAATGTATTAGTTCTAATGGATGGGCTCTACCTCCCTGCATTATATTCAAAGGCAAAGTGCATATGGAGGCCTGGTATGAGGATCGAAAGGTTCTATCTAATTAGAGGATTGAGGTCAGTCCTAACGGCTGGACGAGTAATGAAATAGATCTACGTTGGTTGCAGAATCATTTTATACCAGCTACTGCAGGCCGATTTATCGGACGATATCGATTACTTATTTTAGACGGCCACGATAGTTATCTAACGCCTCAATTTGATCAGATATGCTTGGAAAACGATATTATACCGATCTGTATACCTGCGCACGCTTCTCATAGACTTCAACCGCTTGATGTTGCTGTTTTCTCACCTTTAAAACGCGCGTACGGTGGCCTCGTTGAATCTAAGATACGCTGCGGGCTTCATCATATCGATAAACTTGACTTTTTAGACGCCTATCCTGAAGCTCGTACGCAGGCGTTTACCGGAAGTAATATTTATAGTGCTTTTAGAGCTACCGGCCTAGTTCCTCTGAATCCTGTATCCGTTCTATCTCAGCTGGCAGTTCAACTCAATACCCCTACACCTCCGGGTAGTAGACCAAGCAGCCGAGGCAGTTCAGCGCCTAAAACACCTCATACAGTCAAGCAGTTGAAAAAGTCCGAAACTACGCTTAAAAAGCTGCTTAAAAATCGATCTCGCAGCCCCGATTCACCTACTAAGGCCTGCCTAAATCAAATGATTAAAGGCGCTGAACGAGCTATAAACGATGTGACGCTATTTAAACATCAGCTTGAGCGATATGAGGCTTTATATGAAAAGCAACTTAAAAAGCGAAAGCGCTCTACTAAGCAGATTACTTTTGAAAGGGGTACGTCAGTATCTGACGCCCGAATCTATATAGAGCGCAGAGCTCAGGCAGATGAAGCTATTCAGGCAGATGGAACTCAGCGTACTGAATCGGGGTCTAGACGCGCACCTCCTAGATGTTCTGGATGTAATATACAGGGCCATAAAATTACGAACTGCCCGAATCGATAGAACTACTCATTTTTCTATATGAATATAAATTGATGATATTTTGACCGATTTCAATTTCAGTATAGCGGCGTGGTGGCCCGCTCGTTTGTGTGGCCCGCTCGTTTGTGGGTTACGTTACTGAATATTAGTATATAATATATAGAATAAAACCCAAGAGTAATATAGCCGAATAAACAAGCTAGACCTATAACTTAAGGTGCTAAATCAGGTAGCTAAACCGACAGTCGATCAGCTGGTTTTTTTTAACTCAACACAGTGTCGTCGACCTTGATAGACTTCCAGAGAAGCTGGATATAGTCATGCTTACGGCCCTCATTGAAATCGTTACTGACTCCACTCCAACCCCACTTCCATGCATCCTCTCTGGAGACTCCAAAATCCCCCCGAATCATCAAGACTTCAGTAATCTTATACCTAATTGCGGGATTTCTGCCAATGTCCAGGTACCGGTATTTTCCACCTGCGCCCGCGGCGAGGTCAACCGATCCTGTCTCTGCGTCGTCACTTAGACGGCAGCTAAGAGAAGTACAGGTCTCCGAATCGGACGCCTTGATGCCCCACAGAGGAACAAGCCATACGTAGCTGAAAGAAAGGATTAGCACCAAATCGAGAACTAATCAATGATCTTTCATTGCATACTTCGAATACGAAAAGCCTTTGTTAATATCCGGGCTCTTGTTGTTGTCCACAGGAATGCAATTATCGGGTCGCTGCCACTCCTTGTCACCGTAAACAACCTTTTGGTATTATGGTGGTTAGCTCTTAACGCCGGTGTCAATAGGAACAAGGGACCATCTATATACCTGGATACCGCGAAGGAATCGTTTGGCCTCCAATGCACAGGTGATATTCGACGACAGCACTTTTTCGAAGTTTGGATCTGGTTCGGGGCGGGTTATGATTTGCCTCGATGCTACTGAAACACCCCCACCATTAAAATGCATCCGGTAACCGATAAGTCGGTTCTCTGGCCCAATCTTGTCTGGTAAACAATGTGTGGTCCGTAATTAGCATTAAGAGTAAATTAGATATACTATGAAAAACTCACATTCGGTTACCTCCTCGCCGCTCTCAAAGATTTCCTCCTTGACCTCATCCCTTGTGACGCTGTTCACGGTGTTCTTGATGTCCGCGGAAACCTCATATTCAACGCGAGCCTTTGCAGATACAACGTCCCAACTGGCGCCATATTCACCAGTGAATTGCCCCCTGAACTTCGCCTCTGCAATAGCCTGATTGGCATCCTCCCGAAAACGACCTTTGACCATCTTTCTGCTCCATGTGTACTTATCGGTGCGCGTGGTGGTGGTATCATCTCCATTGTAATAGTCAAATGCCTTTGACCAAGATACTTCTGCAGGTATTTCTATACTGGTTCGAGACATTTTCAGTGGGAGAATAAATATGTAGAAGGGATTCAAAAAATTTATGACTTGAAGCTTGGACTGACGAGAGCTTTCATCTACCTTTTTATATCATTTTAAGGCCCACCTACTCCCATTAGTTCCGCTGGACCTAAGTAAGATGACGTGCTCTATGATATTTTTTCCGTATGAATGGGAGGGTATACGCCTATCTGCATGCATCGTAGGCCCACAAGGAACCTATACCATTTAGCCATGTAGCCAGCCACAGGACTGTCTGATATTCTCGACTCGAGTCTCCAAACTCTCTTATCACTAATATATCTTACTAAGATACATCCTCTTGCACATATTAGAGATCTAAGTCTAGGCTAATCAATTTTGCGGATAAATGCGGGTTGTTTGACATAGGTAGTTCGCTATAGAATCTATGACGACTTTGATTCTCTCTTGGGTTACAACCCCTGACCGCTACACTCGACCCTCTCCTGTGTTATAATCCATGACCGCTACACGCGGCCTTCCCTGTATTGAGATCTCTGATCGTTGCAATGTAAACGTCAGTAGTCTTTACCGGATCCGTTGATATGGTGGGGTGGTGTGGTTCTCTAGACCGACAATCTCTGGTTTAGAAAACCGTCAGAGCAATCGCGACCGTATAACAATTACGTAACTATTCATGATGTTGTAGTGCCTATTTTCTGTAGATCAATCATGTAGGCGAAACGCACCGCCAGCATGTACTACAGGTCAAGCCCCAGATGCGGTATTTGTCAATATGTAGTACCAAAATGCATGTGATATATGCGGAGCGAGATGTCGATCCATCCTTAACTGCCGTGGGTGAGTGGGTTAGCCATTTCTGCGAGAATAGTTTTGCTACGACTGTATTTGTCATACTACCAGACGCATCCAGAAATGCAGCTGCGAACGCGTATGATGTACCTCCCTCTCGGACCTATTGCCAATGAACGGAAATTGACCCCGGCTTGAAGCGCATAATACATCCCATAATGGATTATTGATAGGCGCCATGCAGGATTCCAAGCCAAGAGCCAAATACCTCAGACGATTCTCAACCTTTGAGCTGGCACATGAATGTCTAGGTGGCTTTTAAGATGATATCTCACTCTTACCTCCACCATGACGTAACACGACTGTATTGTAACCTCAGCTCCCTCCCCCCAGCAGCAGCTTCCTACGTACCTGGTGTTCAAGTGGGATCACTAGTAGTACCTCATCGTGCTGCGGTCAAGTGTCTCACACGCTCATCTATCTCAGCTCAGCATGCAGGTTATGCGAGCAGGATGTGCATCTTGCGACATACCGACATACCAAGAATGTGTAAGGGGCTTTGAACGGCAAGGTGGCGGAGAGGGAGTGAATATACTTTGATACATCATGCTAGGAGGCCCTCAACAAGAATCCCTGAATACCAGCTGGCTTCCATCCCTTACATACATCAAACATATAAGTTTATCGCTTGTCACCTGCTAAATACATCATGAACGCAGAACATTTAGCCGCGCACTGATTTCCAGACACCATCTGCGCTGACTACAACCTCAACGATCTCGATACCTGTTTGTCGGACCTTCACTCTTCTCGCCAAACTCCCAATCTACACATTATTTGCATCATCCCGACGACCTTGTAGCCCATCAACGTCCTTATTCTCGAGATCGGCGGTCTCGGGCGAAGCACGCTCCCAAGGTAAATATTTGATTTTGGCCCATAACATTAGAAACAGTACTTGACTTGTCATTCTTCACTAGCTATTAGCTCTCACATATTTCACGCGACTGATCAACAACCGAACATTCGACGACAATGAAAGTGTCCATAGCCATTGGTAGTTCTTACATTGTCATCCCTGACTGACCTCACTGAAGCGACAAGCTCCGCCATGGTTTCCAACCCGGGGAGTCTGAGTGACCCTTGTTAAGGATGAGCAAGTTGACAAGCCTGCTGCTCCACTCTGCTCTAACAGAAAATATAACACCAAAGGAGCTGGTTGCACTGTGTCTAAAGGATTCGGCTACTCCAGCGCACACAACTGTGCGCACAGTATGTATTCCTGCCAGGGCCAAAATGGTAAGGTCGAATGTTTGTCAATCAAGAATGCGCGGAGGTCGAACTTGGAGGGTGGCTACTGCTATAAATAAGGTCTATCGCCGATCACGCGCGTGTGCAAGGTCAGCAACCAGCGGGAGAATAGATGGAGAATAGATACAGCATGTCCGACCAACGCAGATCGGAACGTAACTAGTGTCCCAGTATCGACTCATTAAACTTAAATCTGCAGAATTCGTTCCCTACGAAGGGGGGGGGGGGGGGGGGGTTTGAACCATTGTTCCTACTGAGGCCACGGCAACTTGTGTGGGTTATCTTAAATAGGCTCTGGTAGACCCGGCTGGCCCAGGGTATTGCTAGGTTTTGGTCGGGTTCTACTAGTGTCTTAAGGCTGCCTTCGAGACATTTCAAGGGACTGAAAAAACTTGAAGTCCCCATTAGAAACCCGGTAAGCTCTAGGGTCCCAGATACAATTTGTGGGTGTTTGGAATTACCCTAATGGGACAGCTTGGGGTTGGGCTGTAGGCTTAAGGCGCGGAAATAACCAGCACTGCCGACAGCCTAATGCTCATGCTGGAGCTAGGTCATAGCCTGTGGGTGAAGAAAGCGATTTCTGTCTCTCCATGATAACACACTTGAGAGAAAGACTACGACACTCAATTTGCATACAATATCATATAGCGATGATAATAGGAGGGTTGTAATTGCATTGTTTTTTCGGTCAATCATGCAGACAATCACCCTCTGCATTTGTTGCACCTTAAGACAACAAGTTCAAAAATGACCTTATCCCAGGGTCAAGCCTTGATACATTGCTTGTATGTCGGGGAACCACGCTGAAGATCGCAAATATAACCCTTTCGACACTCGGAAGAAGAGTTGCAGGCTACATATCATTAGCCTACAATTATCATGAGATGACGGGGAAAGTAAGAATATGACTACACCATACCCAGAACTCCGGCGCTCAAGCCAAGATAAATGACCAGCGCCGCAGAAATCTCAGTCAAGTGCATTTTCATTGTGATAAAGTTGGCTTGGGGTAATCCCAGGAGTAAGCTATTGCTGATGAATAGTATGGGAGTGTTAAGCTATGAACACAATGTAATTGACGAGCCTACCACTTTCACAAGGGCCTTTACTTCAATTTATATTCAACACCAAAGTAACAAAAAGCAAACCGGCCTCATCACTACGTCAGTATACTTCATGCGGACTTACATCACATATAGTAGTCTTCGCCGTTTGCAGTATTCTATTAGTAGTAGAACGGTGGCAAAGGAAAAGTCTAGACCCTAGGTCAAACATTATTACTTGCCAGCTTTCAGGAAGATTTTGCATCTGCACCATGACATATAAAATCCTTCCCTTGTAACAATTCTTTGTTTCAGCCATCAAGGTTCAAGGAGTTGCCCTAACTTCGATTATGGTCATGTAGAATCTTGGCTGCCGCCTAGATTGTTGTTTATTATGGATAGTTAGCAGATTCTACAATGGTGCGAGTGGTCAGGATGCAACAGTGAAAGAGAAGTCAAGGAGGGTAGGACGATTTCGCGCCTTTTTGTCGGTGCCCGTGGGGGCCCTGTTCTCCTCAGAGCCATATTCCCTGTCTCCTAGTAGAACCATTATTAATGCGTAAGTGAAGCAGCTAGCAACCCGGCGTGGACACGAAGGGAGGATAAGGATCAAGGGTGAGCATTGGTGGTGAAGAAGTGAGTGAATCACCAAGGATGGGTGAGCGAATCACCCAGCTCACCCAGCTCACCATCTTAAGGCAGCCATGGCCGAAAGAGGAAAGAAAAATGACCCCGTAGATTTTTGAACGAGAGAACTTCCTATCTATTAACTGATCAAAACATATTTCTTGGTAATGTCATCGTGGGTAACTCTGTGGTTAAATATGATTTTGGTGGACAATATCTGGGTGGTTTCCAGCGTAAGACAAGATATTAAGGATATTCTGGGACAGCCTGATCAAGAAATTTAGACTCTCCTGGCTGGCCTTAAAGGAAAGAAAACACAAATAGAATTTTAAGACTAGATATCTCAGCATCTTTGTATAATTTAGCGATCAGAGACACCATAGCAGTACCCGAGATATAAGAATATTCTCTATCTGGTTTTTTAACCGCCTCAAACTAGACTGCGGTATATCCATTGCAGCGGATATGCCGCACTCTATAAATAATATTTATTTATTAAAGCTAATTTAATATTTTATCTATTCCATTTAAAAATGATCTAGGAGATTTATATAAAAATAGATTATTTATAGATAACCCGCAGGTTATCTATACAGATTTAAAAGTTAAGATAGGATTAAATTTTTCAACCCGCAAATCTGCGGGTTAAGATAATGGGTTAAAGTTACTATCCCATTTACGGGTTATAGCGAGGCCTAACTCAGGTACGATTGCCAGAAAACAGCAAAGCCGGATATAGCAACCGAGCGAGACTGAGGCTGTACATAGGTAAAGTTGAACGCCGTGACCAAAGGCCAGTAGAGAAAGCTCCTGGGTATACTTGTAGGGACAGTGTTCTTCACGCGTTCAACGGCACCCTTGAGTCCCTCTCCGGAGAGAAGCCCATGGAAGGCAAAGAAATACACATTGAACAACGGAGTATAAAATAGCTGATTGACAGCCACTTTCGCGCAGAGGGATATAGTTGGAGAATGAGCGTAGTTGAACCGTCGTCCTAGAAACAGAAACCATTCGCGGCTGGGAATAGCGATGACGAGGCCGATGACGATACTTCGTAGGGAGCGGCGGGAGTCGAAATCGTCATCTCCGATCATCTGCGCCGAGAAATCGCCAATGCAGTATGTTACCGGCGTGAGACATAACTGCGTGAGGTATGGTCAACGGCTTTGCGAGTGTGAATACCAGTCGAGGAACGCTACCGCTGGTTCCCACGGTCGTTTGGCTCTCGGGTTTCCGCTGGGGTTTCGATGTGGAGGTCTCTGCCTTGTACAGAATGTTATGGTTTGTGTATGATGCCAGTAAGCTGGTTTTGGATCATGTCTGGGACGTGTCACTTGAATATGTTGACACTGTCTGGGTTGGGTATGAGATCCCGAGTGCCAACGCGGATGAAGAGATCGGGCAATCCGCATGTTGTGTGGTAAGGAGCAACAGAGATCACTTTTGTAGCTGAAAGTGAGTTGTCTCAATTCCATGCAGCTAGATGAAAAATTTTCAATCAAAATTTTTATTCATGTGGAATTTCTTTCGTGCTTAGAAGATCCCATGTTGGATATCCATAGTATGGAACTTCAAAGTTCCGACAGATATTGGGGGTTGTCGGAACTCTCAATGTCCGAACACATGAGGGCGGCCAATCCAGTCTCGGAAATGAGTAAACCCCATAAATGTGGACTGATTATGGCTGCTGAAGGCCCATGAAGTCCTTGAATCCCTTTTTAAAGCAAACGCATAAGGAAATATTACTACTGCACCACAACCTGGGCGTGTCATAAACCTAGAAAATCCTCATAGTGCAAAGCGTCGCTTTATGTTAGGAACGGGATGATCAATGGCACGGTACCCGTTTAGCTGTAAGACCTGGAGTGCCCTGCAGTCTGAATACCTCATGAAAATCTTCAAAGCTATCTACTCTTCAATTCGTCGACTCAAAAAGCACAACCAAGCAGCTTTGACAGACGTCAATACCAACATGGTTTCGATGCCTGAGGCGTCAACCCCATCTAGGTTACAGTGAGGCTTTGCACTGTTTGCAAGACGGAGATTATCCTAGCCGTCTCTTAGGTCAGCAAACCTACCACGCACTTCGGCGTATTAGTCTACCTCACCCAAACGATAATTCCTATTTAAACGATAAATTTGAAACTATTCGGGCTCCTATATACCACTACTATACTTAATTCTTATTCTAATATCAAGATACGGATTGTACAGGCCTATACAATCGTCCAAAGCTAAAAAAAGCCTAATATCTCTGCGCTAGCGCATTAATTTAATATTTTTTACTAATAACTCCAGGCGCGTATTTATAGCCGAGCAAATCTTTCCTCATGTCTTATCTTAACTAAGACACTTAATAATTCATAAGAAAAGATACTAATTTATTAGATTTATTAGCTTAATAATCTATATAGTCTACCTATAGCCAGAATAATTAAGTAGAATACTAATTAAATACTGCAGCGGAATACAACTAATAGGTAATCTTATACAGTTAATAAGAACTGGATTTATCGCTTTATTAAATATTTTTTTAAAAAGTTTAAGCTTATTTAGCAAAAGCCGAAAGATAAGAAGCGTCTTAATATAGAAAATATAAATATTTTCTAATATTAGTACAACTACTTAGAGACCTTTATTAAGAATATACCTCCCAAAAATATATACAATTTCGATAAAACTGGCTTTTAACTTAAATAAAGAAAAATTTAAAAAATTATAATTATTATATCTTTACAAGCTACAAAAGAAAATCTTTTTAAAAAAGTAGGGAAACTAATCTCTGCAATAGAGTGTATTATAGTAAACAGTTTTACTCTTTTTTTATATTTTATATTTAAAGAAATATATTATCTTAAGCGGTGATACAATATAGATATTCTAAAGAAATATCGAATATCTCTATCTCCAAAAGACTATACTATAGATAAGATTAGTCTTGATTAGATTTAGCACTTCTATTATTATATAAAATACTATATCTCTATAAAAAAAGAGATTCAATTACTATTTTTTAATAGCTACAAGTCCTATTTTATCTATAAATTTCTTCAATTTTATAGACTATACTATATTATATTATATTACTTTTCTTTTTATATAATATATCTTATATAGCCTTTTAATAGATAATCTTTTTAAATCTATAAGTACTTTTATCGCAAGAGAAACAATAAGCTCGTTCAAAGAGATATTAAAATAAACGATAAAAGTAATTTCTTAAAAGAGATCTATTCTATTTATACAATAACTTTTAAATAATATATAATCTAGGATACCTTTAAAAAGTAAGGTCTATATTTCTTAAATTTAGAAAAGGTAATAAAATCTCTACATAAAACTTTAAAAACTACTCCAGAACTTAAGATAATTATAATATTATTACTACTACTATCAAGCTTATCGCTACTATCTATAATACGAGATCTTCGTTGAAATATTAATAAAGCGTAGAGCTTTATTAATAATAGCCCGGAGCTTAATCAAAGCTTTATACGACACCTTGACCATATATTCCAAAGCTCGCTTAAAACTACTGAATTAACCATTTAGCTTAAGAATAATCTATAGTAATATCTTCAATATCGAAAGCCTCAGGATAGACAAAAATTATAGAAAAGGGTTAAATACCACGGGCCATTAACTGTATATAATACAAAACGCCGAATTGCGGATTATACTAAGATAGAAAGACTACAGGATTTTAAATAGATTAGAAAGACGGAAGCTTTGGAATACGATAAGCTACTATAACCGACAAATATAGGAAATCTATCTAGTATAGAAACTAGCTAGGTAAATAGAGAAAGCCCTAGATTATCTTATTAGATAGATACTCAAGGCAATATTATATAGAAGTTTAAATAGCTTCAAATTTATCGTTTAGATAGGAATTATCGTTTGGGTAAGGCAGACCAACACGCCGAAGTGCGTGGTGGGTCTGCTGACCTAAGAGACGGCTACAGGATTGTGGGAAGACCCGCTTACTATCGCCGACTCCGCAAATCGATGCAATTAAGGGCGGAGACTAAAGTGCGTCCCGCGGAGGTTTGAGAGTCCGAAATCACGAGATAGAAGTCCAAAAATATGAGATCGCAAAGCTCTCAGTGGCAAAGTCAAGCTGGAGTTAGAGCCACCTGCCGTACATGCAAAGGCTGCCGCCAGAGAAAGGTGAGATATGACCTCATTCTTGAGCTGATATCTCCCTGTGGAGAAAAGGCTATCTAAGTGATGACACTGAACCAGTAGTATCTAACATTAATGATAAGGTAAAATGTGATGGTCAGCATCCAAAGTGCGCCGCGTGTCGTACGAAGAACCAAAACTGCGAACATCCAAGGGATGGAAGAAGAAATGTTGTGAGAGCTAAAAAGGAGGACATAAGATCGCTTCAGAAGCAGGTTGAAGAGCTGAAAACTCAGATTCGCGGACAGACAACCGCAGAAGATGTTTCGCGCACGGATGACATCCATCGTCGTGACACCACAAATCACATAGAGTTCGGGCCTAGGTGTCCTAGGGACTGCACACCGGCATTGGGCTGTCTAAATGAAGTCAGTATGCTGCCATGTGCTAGGAGAATATCATGCGGTCTGCAGAGGGGTGAAAACTTATGGCCTTCCTCAACGAGTCCTACAGAATCGGATCAAAGCTTACAGGGCCCACTTACTGGCCGAAAAGAGACATGTGCTGATCCAAGCTCTTCAGAGGGCCATCAAATACAGGTCTATGGTGCTACGAGTCTACTACCAAGTTACCTGGAAGCTCCTTCGGCCAACTGCCAATCCAAAGAAAATGACGAAGACGCATTTTCGAGAAACATCACCCAGGATCGACTCATTGCGTTCTCGGCAATTATCAAACAGAAGGAGGCTATAATCTACTCGACACCCCAGTATTTTAAGCAACATCGATTTTGATGGCATTCCCGTAGAGATGGCAATGCATCTTCTAGAGCTGCATTAGAATCGGCTGCACTTTATGTATCTTTTGACATACCGCTCGGTGATCATGGACAGCCTCTTCAATAGTGGGCCTTACATGAACAAGCTGCTTTTGAACGCTATTTATTTACAAAGTAGTCTATACAGTGATTGACTATCTTTGCACTCGGACCCTGATGACTCGGGAACGATGGGCACAGCGTACTATGACCGATTCAAATCCCTACTCATCCACTATGTTGACAAACCCACTCTGCCCACCGTCGTCGCGCTGCTGACTTGTGGTGCTTGCCTACTACAATACGGCAAACAAAGCGCTAGTTGGGTGTATTGCGGTATGGCATATAGGATGATCACTGACCTCGGGTATCATTTGGAGGATCAAAGGTCTTCCCAGAGTGGCGAAGATGCCAGGCTCTCAGCTTTAGATAAGGAGGTCAGAAGGAGGGTCTACTGGGGAGCATATGCTACTGACAAGTTCCAATCTCTTTACCTGGGCCGACCTCCAGGGCTTCAGCAATCTCATAGCAATGTGGCTCATGATTTCTTGGACTCTTACGAAGAATTAGAGGAGTGGAAACCGTACATCGATCCCCGAACTCGAGTTGTTAGTGACATCAGCGTCCCAGTTTACCCAGGTCGACCTTCATATGCTCTGAGCACGTTTCAGTGCTTACTCCAGCTCTCCATTATTTCGGAGACAATCATAAACGCGTTCTATTCGACTAATGATGCTAAGGCATCAGAGCAAATTCTAGTGAAAAGCAGAGAAAGGGTCAAAGCACAACTGGACCATTGGAGAGAGACCCTTCCAAGGCATCTACTGTTTAACCCAAACACGGATGAGACACCTCCACCGCACCAGATGACACTGTAGTATGTCTTCCCTTTTCTAATAATTTCGTATCGTTTAATGACTTGAGTTTCAGCACAACATACTGGACCTTGGTCATTCTGACTGAGCAACCATTTCTTCGACGTGGTCATTTCGAGTTCACTCCAATCCCAGAATTGCAATATCAATCAAAAAAGAGATGTATCGAAGCTTCTCTTGAAATTCGAGACCTCATTGCAGAGTATAAAAAGGCATTTTCCCTTAGACGCGCCCAGTACGGTATTTCATACGCGATGTATGGCGCAGTTCTTGTTCTGCTCCAGCACACTGACCAAGATTGTGAGGAATATAGTGAGGCAATCAGGTTCTTTTGGCTTGCGTAGTTCGAATACCAAAATGGATGCGGTCATGGATTAAAAGGGCCGCTGAGGTTGCTCAAATCACGCATGTGTCGAATTGAGAAGCTAGTACAGCGCATTGATCTCGATCACCCAGGTGCTACGGGAGGACTGGCTTCCAGTGGAAACGCCTATAGGCTTTTTGGGGTATCACACTTACAGCGATCCAGATGTCCAGCTTGGAACTGAGCCTATTCCAGCAACAGAGGCTTTCGGGCAAGGGGAATCTTGGAACGAACCCTGCCTCAACGTAGAGACTGACGATTTGTTCTTTGCTGATGACACTATATTTGGCTTCTTCGCCCAGGAATAATCAACACGTTTCCTGGGCGGGTTTCATTGCCTGAAGGTTGCTCGCGTCTTTGCTTTCCCCGCACGATATTTTATAGGGATTGGATTCGGAGAAATGAACATGCGATACCTCACCTAGATGAGGACCACTTCACCGACAAAAGCGGCCAAAAAGAAACTTAGTGCCTTGCCAAGTAAGGCTATCCTACTATTAATTGGGTTCAGGTAAAATATGACCTGCTTCTTACCATTTACATCTTGATGTGTATTTGAAGTATTGCACAAGCCTGCTCATGCAAGAGCGGCGTACGAAAGGGCATGATTAGATATTGGCGATCTCATTCGTTCTCTTCGACTTTCACATCGCCATCTCATAATATACCCCGATATGACTCGGTTTACAGCGAACTACATGACGGCTCTTTGAATGAACAGCAAGATTGTTTGAGATGAATACGCTCGGGGCGCCAAAAGAGGGGCTTAGCTCAGCCACTGAATGACCAGGATCTGCAGTTGGGCTGTACTTTCAGCCTCGTCGCACTCACTTTCCTTCTGCGCTCTCACAACCTCGCCTTTCAACTCTTCTATCCAGCCTCTTCCATTGACTTATGGATCCGGCTACTCTTCAAGTTACGCTGCACGTGTCGGTCAGAATTCGTGCAGATAGACACAATCTCTGGAAACACCAGCAACTTGTACGAAAACAGTCCTGGGTGATATAGACTCAAGACTTGGACTCTACAGCACAACGCACTCCATCAGCCTCTTACTCTCAAAGTACTAGAGACATCTCCCAAACCAATCTAAACCATGCGTCTCCTCAAGACTACAAAGTCCAACGTGGGCGCCTTCGAGATTGAAGAGTTCGCCGACGACCAACTCCAAAATCAACCATATGCAATCCTGTCTCATACTTGGGGTTCAGACGAGGTTACTCTGCAAAATATCAATGAACCCATCGTAAAGTCCAGGGTGGGCTATAGAAAGGTTGAACAATGCTGCTCAATAGCCCACAAAATGGGGTATGAATACGTATGGATAGACACTTGCTGCATTGACAAAACAAGCAGCGCAGAGCTATCAGAGGCCATTAATTCCATGTTCCTCTGGTACCGAGAAGCCACGATATGCTATGCATATCTCTTTGACGTACCACAGAAACCATTTGAACGGAGTAGATGGTTTACTAGGGGATGGACACTGCAAGAGCTAATTGCTCCGCGGGAAATAGTATTCTTTGACGGGAACTGGAAGGAGTTAGGTGATAAGGCGAGCCTTGGAACAAGAATATCTCAATGCACTCGTATACCCGAGAGTATCCTTCTGGGTGAGCAAGATCTTGATACGTTTAGCATCGCTCAGAGAATGTCATGGGCGTCAGAAAGACAGACATCCAGAGCTGAGGATCGTGCCTATTGTCTGATGGGGCTATTTGGCGTCAATATGCCTCTGATCTATGGAGAAAGGGAAGCTGCCTTTATTAGACTTCAGGAGGAAATCTTACGGATCTCAGAAGACCACAGCCTTTTTGCTTGGAAATCTTCGGATACTCGCGCCGGACTTCTTGCTACATCTCCGGCTGCCTTCATTGACTCCCACGACATTGTCCCTTATGATACTGTCATCGGTGAGACATCTTATACTTTCAGTAGCCCTTTGATTATTAGCGGTAAAGGGATTCATTTAGATCTTTGTCTGATTGGCCTGGAGCATGTTGGACTAGGGCTGGCTGTTCTGCAGTGCAAGAAGGTCGATGGGGGGCCTACGTCGGTCGCCATCTTTGTGCGTGACCCGTCCTTGACCTTGGAGCGTTTCAAGAGAGTTTATTGTGACGATTTCCACCATATTGATCTCAAAAGGTTCAATAAATGTCAACTTTGTATGACTAGGATGTGTATCGAAGCTGGTCGCATGACACGTTTGCAAAGGATAGGAAGCTCCGAAGAATACCATATGTCTTTGCCGATCAATGCCTACCCTATAGCTACACTACCGCGGGCCTTCGATTGGGATCACCCCGAGGTTGATGTTCATGTATGGTTGTTGCTCACGCAGAACAGGCCTGAATCAGCCTTGAATAAGGTCTACAATGACCGGACGCCATTGTCGTGGGCCGCTGAGAACGGCCTTGAGAAATATGTCAGTGCTCTGCTGAAGAGAGGTGCTACCACTGAGGTGAATGATGAAACGGTTGATACGCCTCTTTCCTTGGCGTCTCGGAATGGGCATACTGCTATAGTCAACTTGCTTCTGGATATAGGTGCTAGTACTAGGAACGCTGGTCTGAACCTCCTCACACCACTGATTCAATGCAGTTCTATGGGGCATGAGGATATTGTCAGTCTGCTGATTGATAAGGGCGCTGATATTAACGCACAGGATCTGAATGGTCAGCCACCACTGATCCATGCTATCCTTGCCGGTAATACGTCTATTGCAAAGATGCTGATTGACAAGGGCGCCGATATAAATGCAAAGGGTTACCTTGATAGGACACCGTCAATGTATGCCACTTTTTTGCTAGGAATGTCATCCGCTAAACGCTCTGAAAGAATGGGCATTGTCAAGATGCTGATTCTACACGGTGCTGATACAAATGCAAAGGATAAGTTTGGCCGGACACTACTGTCGATTGCCATCGCTGAAGGGCTTGGGGATATTGTCAATCTGCTTCTCGCTAAAGACGCCATTACTGAAACAAAACGTCAGGCATCAATGGCAAGGCTGGCTTAAAAAGCGCAGCAGGGCATTCCCAAGCTCTTTTAATAACAGCACTAGAAAACTCTCTCTCATAATCCCACAGATGTCATTACTAGAGCTACAATTCCCTAAATACTAAAACTAAGTGTACCTGTACTACTAGAAATAGATGGCTAATCCATCATATCAGCCATACACTTACAATGGCCTCTTTCATAGCTTAATCTACTAGTGCTCCTTCAGAAACGGTAACAATTCATTCTTTTCCAGTTCACCAACAACTGTATAAAAACCCACACAAACAATGGTATATCAAAACACCCGAAATCAAAACCTACAAAGAACTCTTACTCTTCAACAAATGCGCATTAACCGGCGTCAAAGCCTTCCCCTTCAACAAAAAGCCCTCAATATTCTCCATCGCCAGCCTCTCAAACCCAATATGCGTATCGACAGTGCCACCAGCATTATGCGACATGGCCATAACACGAGGATGCTTCACCAAGCGTGGATGCACATAAGGCTCATTCGCATGAACGTCAAGCCCAGCGGCAACCAAATGGCCCTCATCGAGGACCTGGATGAGGGCCTCCTCATCGACCAACGACCCGCGCGCGATATTAATAAACCGCGACCCCTTCTTAAACTGCCTAAACCGCTCCAGCGTCAGGAGAGTCTTACCAGCAAACGGCGTGGCAACGACCACGCAGTCCGCGGTCGCGAGCAACGATTCCAAATCCTGGTAGTACGTCGCGCCGACGCGAGCCTCCTGCTCGGGGGTCTTCCGGAAGAGATCGTGGTAGGCGATCTTCATGCCGAAGGCGGCGTGTGCTTTCTGTGCGATCATGTAGCCGATCTGGCCCAACCCGATGATGCCCAAGACGTGGTTGCGCGGGTTGCGCGCTGTGAGCGGGGAGTTTTTGTGGGCGTCGGCGAAGGCTTGCGGGTTGGCGGAGTGGGCGGCCTGGTGGGACCATGCTAGGTTGCGGAAGACGGACAGGATCAGGAAGATCGTCATGTCGGCGACGGATTCCGACGAGGCCGCTGCCCCGTTGCAGTAGATTATTCCTGTACCAATTCATTTTCATTAGCTGGGGGTGTCTTTTCCTTTTTTTTTTTTTTCTTTTTTTTTTTCCCTTTTTTTCCCCACATGTTGTCTCCATTTTACCCCACAAAATATATTCTAGTTACATTCTACGGCTTTAACCGGCGGAGGGGTGACCCCAAATGACGCCGGAAATGGCCAAGTGGAGAGGGAAACAGAGACACACACACAGAGAGAGAGAGAGAGAGACAGAGAAAGACATACCATGCTCAGCAAACACATCCACATCCGCCCAGTCATACCCGGCCCCGGCGGACGCCATGATCTTTACGCTCTTGGGCAAAAGCGGAATCAACTCGCTGTCCCAGCGGCCCATCTCGCCCCCCGTGTTCCAGAAGGGCCGGAAGATGGCGTGGAAGTCCCCCCAGCGGCGCTCCTTCAGGGCCCGCATGAACTCTTCCCTTTCGCGCTCTTCGGCGCTGGGCTGGATGATCTCAAATTCTGACGAGAAGCGCGCGTACACATCGTGGTTGTATTTGATGTTGTCGCCGATGTGGAGAATGCGGAATTGTGGCATTTTTGTTCTTTCTTTTCTTTTTGTATTTGTCGTGATTTTAAACGGTCTATTTATTTTGTATTTTCTTTTTTAAATAGAGGAATTGAGGTTGTATTCTCTGCTTTCTTTTCGGTCGTTCGCTCTTGAGGCATACTTATACTTCCGGGGTGGTCAATTGCCGTCGGTCAAAACCCGATTGCCGACGCTGCGGAAATCCGAGTCGGATTGCCGTCACCGCTGCAGCGTTGAGCTGTTTTTACCCCATATGGGGTGATACGTGCTGTGAGGGGAAGCTGAGTCGCTTCTCACACATTAATTGGTTGAGATACCTTGCAGATCAGCTGTGGGAAACGGACGTAATTGCCCTGTGAAGTGCAGTAAGGAATTAAAGACTGAATTTGCCCAAGTCAGGACCAAACTATGTGCACGTGCAGCAGCGGGTATCAGCAACGTTGACATTCAGTGTAAGCATAAGCTAGAGCTAGGAACAAGATATATCAGTAGTATGGATAATGGCAAGCTAAGCGAGCAAGATAAAAAGCAAATACACATGTCTACCAGCAGAACGACGCTTCGTATAAATCTATGGTTTGCGTCCCCTGGTTATCCCGAACGCATTTGCGGACATCATCGCCCATCCCGCCTGGTCCGCACACGCTGACTGCCATTGCACCTATCTGTTGCTTCTTCTCGTCTTCTAAGATTTGGTTGAATGATGGCTTGCCGGAGACCACGCTGATGGGTACGCTTGGCGGTGCGGAATTGGTCCAGGGGCTCTCCTCTAGCGAGTACTCGTCTGTACTTTCACTTAACGTGAGATATATTTGAATGGAAAGGGAGAATTCTGGGAACTGGAAGTATGTGTGGCTTTTTTGTTCGCTCGATACTTGAAGTGCCGAATGATTTAGGAGAGATGTCATCCACGGCTGGATCCATTCCAGATGGTCTGGAAGATGGTCAGTGGAGATTGCTCTCACGTGCGCCGCGAACACTCACCAATACTGCGGATCACCCAGATCAGGCTGACCTTCCGAACAGCGGTCGACTTCTGGGAAAATCTACTCATGATCTCATGCAAATAGGACATTGGGTGGGTGATTCCAATGCCGCCTGCGATTAAAAGAATTGTCCCGTATGAAGAGAGAGAATGAAGGCCACCTAAATGGACCATCAGTATAGCCCCGCTAGTCATGGTGCTTCCTAAACATACCGAAAGGACCTTCAACCAGGGCGGATGCAGTGAACTTTCCCTCCATCGACTTGTTAACTTTCGCGAGAAGCTTATTGGTAAATCCGTCACGTCGCTTGATCAGGAAGGACATGATTTCACGCTGCGGGCCTCCCAACAAGATGCTGAGTGATTCATTGGATCCGCGCTTTTCGGTCAGACTCGCTCGGTCATCCGTCCATGCGATGGAGAATGGATGCGATGTCCAGAGACCAAGGGACGGCATGTAGAGGTACATGTATTGCCCGGGCTTGAAGGTCCATGACCGCGCCAGGGCTATATCAACGCGAGCTACATCGCCGGGAAGGAGCTCCACGGTGGCCATTGTGCGTTGTTTCCCGAAGTTGCGCCAGATAATACTCCCCAAGCGCCCAACTCTCTGTGAAGGTACGTCAGTCTTGCCTTCGATGAAATCTGAAAGTACCCTCAAAGGGGAGGAACGGGGAGACACAGTGTGTGAAGAATCTCAGTGCAGGTAGAACACGGCGCTGGTAAAGACTTACATCAAGACCCCACAGAATGAGCGTGACCAGCAGGACACGTTGTAGAGCCAACCCACGAAGGTGATACCAGAGTCCAACAAATGAGGTTATTGCAAGCATGATATGGAAATGAAGGAAGAATTCGTAAAAGGCATGTCGGATGGGAGAGGCGGACTGAAATAGTATCACCATGAACGCAATAAAGGCCTACCGTCATCATCACGACCCGTTAGATCATACACGACAAGCTGGGTTTCAGTCATAGACCTACAACAAGTCCTTCTATAAAGAACGGCGTGTTCCAGAGAAGATGGGTCACCTCCGACATGCTCACTGCATACCAGTTAGTCACCAAGCCAGGTCAAGCCAGAAGCCATGGTGTACTCACTCTCTTTGGCTTTCCCTGCTACCACACAGGCCATATGAACTACGGCCTCGCCGATAATGAGACGCCCGATCCATCGATGCATTAGGTTGAATGTATCAAACTGCAACCCTAGCATTGGGATCAGGGGGTTGTTACGAGCAGCAGTGAGAACAAGTGCGGGCAAATTCATCACGCAAAGGTGACCAGCGGCGTACTTGATTTGGTACATCGTCTCCTGGTAGCCCGACCACCAGTTGGAAAGTACAAAAAAGAAGACGATGTTCAACACAAAGTATGCGAGCAGTAGAACAGCCTCTAGCCGTAGTGGGATTATCCCCATATGGATCCGGCCCAGAAAGCGAAACTCGCGACTGTGGCGAATAGACAATAACGGTGCGTAAAAGACATGTCTGTTGAAAAAGGCTGAAAGAGCACCGTTGCGAGCGAACCTTTCTTGTTTATCCTCTCGGAGAACCTCACGCAGACGTCGATGGTGTCGTAGCCTTATGATAGAGCGGCCGAGGAATGAGACAACGAAGAACCCGCCCAGGACATACAGAGGTGTTGCCAGCGCAGGGTTCATAGGAGGGTGGTCATATCGGGTGTGTTGCTTCCCCGGCTCTAGCTGATCTACTCCCATTTTGAATGAAGAGGATGCTGGAATATGTGAATCAAAGAGGACTGCTAAAGCCGCACAACCACCTCAAGTCAGAGGTGACGCTTCCCTTCCAGCCGGACAGGTACCAAAATGATTGTGATGGTTGCCTACGGCAAGATAAATATACAGGCACGAGAACAATGTGTTTGCGCCTGCCATGATCCACGGGTCTTGTGCACAGCATATTTAACGATGCCGTCATCCATATTGGCTTTAGCCTCCAGTTATCCATGGACCGCGCCGTGACAGGTTAGACACCCGCATTCTAGCAAAACTGTGTTGGAAATCGAGAACAGTGCTCCTGAGAAGGTCATTACAACCAAGAATGTGGGGAATGGGGTTCTGGAATGAGACGTTTGCCCAGTGTTCTGGACCTGGGAGAGGTGCTACTGTTTCCCCGCCTGGATCTTGAGCAAATCAGCAAACTGACGGCATAGACTAAAGCTTTTGAGGACTAGTTCCACAACTCCCTATAGTCATTACTTTCGTCCCTTGTCGGTTGGTCGGATGCACGGGGTGGATCTGCAGTTGACTGAACCGATGAAACCACGGCGCCGCAAACGGAGATACCGAAAGTCGAGGGTCTCAAGCCGCCATCCGCAACCACCCAAGATCTCCACGATCTCTTCTCCAAGAGTTACCACGCATATTGTACCCTTCTAAGCGATCTGAGAGCCTTGAATATAGGATTATGACGTATGAGACTTGCCGACCTGAAAGTGTCATGAGGAACCCCCTTCATTCCCGGCACGTGGCAGTGTCTACCATGAGATTTAGGCTAGTGATCCAGAGGAATTATACTGGCTCTGGTACTATCTAGGCAGCGTAGGCACAGCGAAATCTTACGCTTCTACTGACTCACAGACTCACAGCGGGAGTGTTGTCAAATCGAAGATCAACGTCATGAACCGCACACAAGTGGAAGATTGCGTAAAGGTCCAGCCGGTTATTGTGTCGGCAGTTATGTGCATCTATTGAAGAAAGATGGTTCGAGACCATATTGTAACGTTATGATGATTTGTATATTTAAACTTTCGTCTGTTGCGCAAGTCCCTGAGGTAACCATGGGAGTTCCCAAGGGGCGCGGGCTTTATTCGGCTTTCATCATGACGAAGTGGCTGCCACGAATCTTCTCACGATAAAAGTGTTAGAAGACCCGCTATCAGTCAAGGTGACTTGACAACAAGCACGGCCCAACCCATATCCTTGTTCCTGCCCTGGAAGAGGATATGGCACGGTGGCTTGCACTGACGACACGACGGGGTCAAGATGAGGGTCAACATAGTGTTGCCCACGCTGGGTTTCGGTTGTCAATCTGCGCGTCACCGAGAAGCCATGTATTCCAAAGTAGATCACACGACTAATAACAGGATGAAGAGCAGCTTGCGTCAGCCTTATACGAGGTGGCAGGTACGGAAGCTAAACTGGTGATCGCCGCGTGGCTTAAACTTTCAGCCACAAATTCAACGCCAGCCGCATGCGGCGTAGCTTCAACCGATCCGGGTACATCGCCGATCACTAGCAGATTGTCAGACAGAAGATAAAAATACATCAACTCCCTGATGAGAACGTCCACCAACGAGACCGGGTTGACGCGAGCGAAAAGAGCAGATCGGGATATACCAGTGGTGACTTGCACGCAGTATATGTTATTAGGCATTATACACAAGCAAAGAACCAAATAGGAGAGAGACTGCTTTAGTCTAGTTCGGCTTCTGGGGCGCCGGAGGGAAGATACATGAAACAGGCCGCAGATCAACCGAAAAACGCCATAGACCGATACTTGTTGTATATATTCCGATTCCCGTTTTCCATCACTAGCAAAATACACCCTAATACCAGAAGTAGCGCACCCCGCAATACCTACCAAGTGTCCATTAAAGTAACAAGTCATGAGATAAACCAACCCTTAGACAGCGACATCAACCGTAATGCATGCATGCGAAGGCAGACCATATCTGTTCATGCCTCATCTTCATGTAAACTTTCCGGCCTAGAGCATTGGGCTGGGTTACTAGTAGGGGTTGGCTGTCTGCTTTGTCGCGAACCCTCATTCGACTTCTTGCGTGGCTTCTTCTTCTTGTCCGTATTCCGTATAGCTTCCCTCCTCTCCTCTTGGATACGAGAATAGTCGACCAAATCGACCCCCGCGCTATGGCACAGGGATTTGCATTCTGAGTCAACAACTCCCACAAGATGTGAAGTGAATCCATAGAAAGCCGGATTATACGCGTTTTTCGCCCAGTACGATAGCTCCGAAGCCACACGGCTTAGATTGGGAATGAGGGGTGGTGAGCATTTCGGGTTGCGAGATGGCGCTGGTCTGTCAGACTCATCGCCAGCGGACAAGGATCGATGTCTAGAGACAGGAGAAGAGGGAACTGAGGAATCCGAGGAATTCATGTAGTCGGTATCCGAGGCCAGGACGTGCAGAAGATGATAGGTAGCGGCGAACCCAAGAAGAGTTAGCTCAACGGGGTCCAAAGGTAGCTGGTTAAACCAGGAAATTGCTTTCTGCATTGTGAAGGATGCAGGCAGAGATGTATCTCCAGTGGTCCGTGCTGTGAAGATGGCTGCGATCATTGCACAGCGCACGGCAATATTGATCTCATCGCGAACAGATGCGGGGAGAGAAGAGTCGAGGAAGTTCGAAGCCTGGGCCTTTTTGGTTTTTCCTTTGTCCTTGGGCAGTGCTGCAAGAACCATATTGATATTTGCCACGCGATCTTGTTCGAAGAAAACGGCTTGCATAACCAGAGCACGCGTATGCGCCGCCGACGGTTGAGGCGCTACATTGACAGCTGTTTTGAGTTTGGATTTGAATAGGTCACGGCTCTTCCTCCTGTCTTGACCGCCAGCACTAGCCTCGAAGTATCTCAGAAGGGCTCGCTGTAGCAGATGGCTAGACCACCACGCAGCAAGCGCGTCCAGTGAGGACTGTATGGCAGGATCCTCTTCCACTACATCGAGTAGGGCTTCATCTCCATCCGTCCCTTCCTGGGTAGGACGGTTCCAAGTGAGATTTGCGGCTCTTTGGATGACGCTGTCGATCATGACCTCTTCACTATCAAGCTCGAGCAAGGCAGCTAGATGGCTGGGGAGGGCATCTGGGTGGTCCTCTGGCAGGGACGAATTCATTTTCCGGGCAAGGTCCCATTGGTACCGTGCCAGGCTACGGGCAACGTCGTTGGAGACGTTAAAGGTCCAAGAGCCTGGGTCGCCCACGCGCCAAAGCAATATGCGACAATGGAAAGCCTTCAACATCATTCTCATTGGGCTTCGAGGAAGGGTGCCAGCAGCGAAGATGGTCAAAACAAGACGACTTTTGCTAACCTCTGCGTCACCACCAGCCAGTTGGGCATCGATCGCAATGTCCCATGTCTTCACTCGGCCCCTTTCGTCCTCTTCGGTGATTCCTGTGGCCCACGAGTAGAGCTTCCATCCTAGCAAACAACGCAAGACGTATTCAAAACACCTCGAGGTCACAACATACCACTCGTGGAAAAACCTATGCCGGGGTACTCCAACCCGTTGAATACTAGTCAGCCAAGCCTGACGCCGGAAGTTGCTGGACGACAGCGTGGCAGATGCTGATTTTGAAGAGGAGTACTGAAGCCCAGGCCCTCCGGAGTTGAAAAGGTAAACGAAGACGATGAACGCACTGCCGACAACGAGAGTGGCAAGGATGAGAAAGTGGGAAATAGCGCGGGCGTGCCATGAATACCAGAAGCTACGAGCCATGGCAACCCAATAGCCGGTTGGTGGCAGTTGCATGTTATTGAAGAAGTTGACCGGGATAGCCAGGAGCCCTTTTGCTGTTGATTCTGTCTTCTTCTCCGAACTCATTCCCTCGACGACCATAAGGCCAGCAAGCGCGCCAAGCATGTATTTATTAGGATAGTAGGAACGTTTGCGGCTGCCCGACTGAGGGGATGTATTGCCGCTGCTTGGGTATTGGATGTAAGATTGAGACCACGACTCATCTTTCGGAGCCGCAGCCCGCATGCGCTTGAAGGCATCAGGCACCTTAATCATACCCTCCGGGGGATGAAGAGAGCTCGGGGAAGGATCACTGGGAACATCCTCGGCGTTTGAGAAGACGCTTGGTGACGAGCTTGCACCAGACTCGGTGTAATTGCTCGGTGAAGAAACCGAGGCCGCAGATGTCACATTCTGATCGACAGCCTTGTCCAATTGTCGTAGTCTAATCTTGAGAGCAGTATTTTCATCTTCCAGCCGCTTATTACGTATTTCCAGGTGTCGAATATACTCCGTTGCCTTGGAGAGGATAGAGGCCTTGTTCAACTTGTTGGCTGGCGTAACACCCTCCCCGTCGTCTTCGTCCACCAGATGTCTCGAAGCCCGGAGGCTGGGCACGCTATCTCTGAGCTCGGCAATTTTCTCATTTAAGTTAGCCCGATATCGCTTTTCAATTACATTATGGGCTCGTTTCTTCGAGGGCATCTTCTTTCCGGGTGGAGCTGAGCCGCTAACTGTTGATCCATCGTCATCGCTGCCGGACTTGCGTTTGGCACCTGCTAGAGATATAGGTGATCCAGATGTGGTCGACTGAGCAGACTGCATATCCATGCTCGCATTTGAACTTCGGTGAGGGGGAAGCCCGCCACTGCCATCCTGGTCTAGGAAGGAATCAAACGGAAGGTTCGTCACGCAATCGAGTGAAATATCTGGGGAGAACTCGGGTTTTTGAACATCGCCGAGGCTCTGTTTGCCAATCGAGGTACCGGGCGAGGTAAATGAGAAATCAAAGGGCGATTGGGAAATTTCGTTGGTAGTCTCTGGGAATGAGTGGTCATCCCATTTCATCCATTGTGTCCAATCCTGGCCCGAATCCTCCGGCGATGATTGGAGAAACGCCATGGATTCCGTCTGGGACTCCCTTCTGTCCGAAGATTGGGCTGGGGAGAAGAGCTGGAAATCGCTACTCATGCTAGGCATCGCCATTGTGTCCAACCGCCAGGGTCTGGACCATCAAGCCTAAGGCTATGAGTCGGTTTGCGGGCGTATATATCAACCGCTTTGTGTAAGTATCGCGAGACAAGCCTTTGCTCCTATTAACCATCCGATATTGACAACGAAGGTGGGAGCGGAAGGGTGGATGGTTCCTCTGGACAAAAGTACCAGGTAGAGGGACCTAGGGTGTGCATACCTCAGGCAAAGAGAACAAGTCCGGCTAGTGGCGGGTTAGAGTTGAAAGGTGATTGATGATCAGCCAGAACCGAACGCGCTAGTTATTGGGCTGTGGAGAATGATTGGGGGGCGATAATAGAGAAAGACCCCTTAAAAGGAAAGAAAAGGAGGGAGGCGCTATATTGGGTGGCAATTGATGCGAGGGTCAAGTTGTGAAAGGAGTGATTAACTTGAAAAGTTGGAGTTGTTCTTCATGACAGACAAACTGAACTAGTCAGTCACGTTGAGGTCTGACAAACAAAAAAAGAAAACGAGCCGAAAATTAGTGTTTTCAAGATCTTATCGAGGCGGCGTTGGGTGGTTGAGTACGCGGCTTAGGCCCTCTCACATGGAACGGTACGAGCCACAGTTGGAACACTCTGCCCCAGCAGATAAGATCTTCTTCCTTTCTTCTTTGGGATTTTTTTTTTCTTGTTTCCTTCTCTGTGTATTCGCCACTGCAGAGACAAGGATATACTGATAATAGATTTATTATTGGAAACCACGTAGCAGAGCAGAGTCACCTGTTCACAGTTCTGCACATCGTTGGAAGAAGGACAAAGTGGTGCCTGACAGCAATGGCGACTGACCCTCGGCCAAGATTCGGCGCTAAGCGTCGTATGATCGCGGGACACTGCAGTTCCGGCAAACCGACAGGTGTTATGGTATTACGAGCTTGGGGACCTGTATCGTTGCCTCTTGAGTGGTTGTATTGTCTGACTATGTAATATTACCTTCCGCCTCAGGCGGCTGCGAAGCCCTCAAATGGCACGTGACATTACATCATGCTGTTTATTTTGGGACTCTCCAATGCTCTGGACCGCAGAAAGCAATCCAACTAATGCAGACTGCCCCTCTATTGAGCATCCACCAAAGTACAGAGTCATGTTAACCTTACGGTGTACGGGGTACAAACTGGAGAACATTGATAAGAAATCAACTCTAACATTAAATCTTCAATTATGCATCCATGCGATAACTTCACAATCATAAACTGAGACCCTCCGAGCGCCAATTGACTCAGGCGCGGAACCTCTTGCTGGCTGTCGTTGAGTTCCAGCCGCTCCGGAGACCCCAAGCCTTGACACTAACACTAGTCCGACCACTGAGACCCTCTGCGGAAACAGCCAAGGTATCGAGTGGGGAGCTTGGGAAGAATGTCATGGTTCCGCTCTGGATCCCGTCCTGACCAAGGAAGACTTCAAACACAGAGCGGTCGATAACGCCCGAAAAGCTGAACGTGCCGTTGCCAAATGACGAGATAGTGGTTGTGGAAGAGGATGTGTAGTTTCCATTATCTTCAATCGTGAAAAGATGGGTTCCAGCTCTGTTGATCCAGAAAGAACGGTCCTCCAGGGACACTCCTCCGTCGAGGAATTCTCCCGATGCAGATGAGGTGAAGTTAAAGCTCACGCGCCCCGCAGGCTTGGCAACATCGATGCCCTTCAGCATCACATCAAAATATACAGCCTTCGACGGGACCCCAGAGAAATTCGCTTTCACGTCCCCTGACTGGAGGCTCTTGCTCACGAGCTGCCTGTCCTTAATAGCAGAGAGGCCCTCAAACGGGCTGTGAGTCACAGTCCAGACTCCATTAACTTTAGTTAAGGCGTGCGTTCTAGGTAAAGTCATGGCGCTCCTCCAGCCTTCGAGAGGGCCAGTGGGAACCTCTTCGGTGTAATCCCAGTTGCTAGCCCAGCCGATGGAGACTGGAGGCTCGTTCTCAGGAATTCCAGAATACCACTGAGCAGCGTAGTTGTCCTTGGAGAAATCAAAAAGCGTCTCCTGGGTAACTTCGGAGGTAAAATGGGTGCCGTTGAAATCGCCGACCACATAAAACGTTCCCGAACCCCCGAGAGGGGCGCCAGGATTCACGGAAATGAAAAGCACGTACTTGCTAGTCTCTTTGGACACAGCGGGATCCACAGCAAACTTGACCAAGTTGGGACATTCAAATTGGTCGCCCGGCAGCCCAGCCTGGGTGAAGTTCGACACATGCGTCCAGTCTTTGAGATTAGGCGATGTGTAAAACCCAATGACCAAGTCCTGCGCATAGGCAATAGTCATCACCCATTGCTGAGTCTCGGGATGCCACACTACTTGCGGGTCACGGAACTGCTTCGAGCCAATGTCGATGACCGGGTTGTTCTCATACTTGGTGAAAGTGTATCCACCATCGCGGGAATAAGCAATGTGCTGTGTTTCAAGTGTCGGGGTATCGACTGTGTAGATGGCTATCACACCATCGTCCTGATCGGGAAAGAATCCTGAGGTGTTGTTGCTGTCCACCACAGCAGAGCCTGAAAAGATATATTCTTCAGGCTTGTCCCCAGCGAGGGCGATAGGCTGATTTGTCCAGTGGTATAGATCAGGGCTGGTGGCATGGCCCCAGTGCTGATTCCCAGCAACTGTCTCTGTAGGATTATCTATTCACTCATTATTACGCGTGTCTGGTTTGAGTGGCAAGAATAGACTCACACTGATAGTACAAGTGATACACGCCCCTCTTGCCATCATAGAAGAGGCCGTTGGGATCGTTCATGAAGCCGGAAGGTGGAGAGAAGTGTGTTTGAGGCCGAAGGTCGCCAGAGTAACTGGCAGCCTGCGTAACAGCCGCAAGGGCAGGAAGGAGGAATGGCTTGATATGCATATCGGCAGGTCTCTTGCAGTAGCTATAGGTAGCAACCTGGATTGCAATTCTGGGATTCGTTCTGTCGGACGTGGCTAGGGTATTTATAGTCGGCTCCCCTCGTCCAAATTCCCGTTTCGCGGCGATGCACGAACGGCATGCCCTTCAAGGGAAAGGCTAGGCACCATGGCCTTTGCATTCCAAGGCTCCAAGTGGATGAAGCCGAGAACTCAGTTCAACCATGTGTGGATATCAAACGGTCTGAGCACTGCGATTGCTGGTTAGCCGGATGGCATACCCACGTCATGCATACGAGAAAATTAATTTCCACCTGCCCTAAACGCGCCAAGGTGTTGACTTAAGAACTAGTGTGGGGATATTGCCTTCAGGTACATCATATATTTTAGTGGTGACTGGGCCGTTTCCTGGACAGATATCTGCTCGTTCACGACCTTTATAAACCCCATAGTCCCGTTCAATGCTGTTGTTCAGGCATGACATTTGCGAAGATCTCACATCTACCCTGTGCTTGCAGTGATCGCTCCGGCAATGCTACCCCGGCCGGAGAAGCGTTGTGCTGGAAGCGGGGAGCCGAAGCAATGGCCTTACCGCCGGTGATTTATCGGGAGATTTTCTCTTCACACCCCACAAACAACGAATTCCCCAGCAGCTCTTCTTCAGTGGAGTAAATGCTGGAGCTGCCCATGAATCGTCTGTTCTGGAAACCTACAGTTGTGGGCGGATGCAGTAATAATTTTAGCACGATCAAGGGTATTAACTGTTGGTTCCAATGTCAACTTGCTGATATATAAATCTATATCGAATTTTGGCTCACCTTCACCAGGTACCAGCCCAGTCATCAGCCTGGCTACATTTAGTTAAACCCGGATACCCTGTTTATCCAGAAATGTTTGCTACTACCATCTAACTACGACCATGGGGTTCACTCGGAGACGGTTCGGCGAAATCTCCCCAACGTGGAGACGAGGCATTTTGAAAGCATGGGAAACATTCCACTCGCACAAAACCATGACTCTCCGATTTCTAATCATTGGATGAACGAAGTACACTAGGTCTATCGCAGTACAACTCCCAAGAATAACACACTATACACATATGGGGGGGCCTCGTGGAGATAACCCGAGCTTCCTATTTGAGTTCACCTGAATTCGCGCATATCCACAGGATTATTAGATGCTAACTTCAAGCTTAGACACCGATTCCATCAACTCCCTCACCGTCTTCTTAGCACCCTCTCCGGGTTCCTCATACGGCGTCCTCGGCTTCGCCTTCTCCTCGGCCCCCTCAATTCCGGCCAAGGGCGCCGAGTAAATCGCGGCAGCATACTTGGTCGACGCAATGCCGCTCTTGCAAGGACTCTCGGCTAGCGCCGCCTTCTGCTGCAAGTCTATAGCTTCCGTGACTTTTCCGGCCTTGTACAACTCGTAAATCTTCGACGCGGTCTTGGGAAACACATTCGCGAACGCCGCAATGCACCCAGCAGACCCAACACTAAGTCCTCCAATCAAGAAATCACTCTGACCACCATAGACAGCAAACTCCTCTGGCTTGAATGTGGCCGCCAACCTCGTAATCTTACCCACCGAAGCACAAGTCAACTTCACACCCACCACATTACTCTTCCCATCTCCCCGGCTGGCAGCAGATTCGCGCACAATAGCCGTAATAGTTTCCGAATCAAGATCCACTCCATTACACACCCCAGGGAAGTTATACACAACAACCGGCAAGGGCGACTGACGCGCCACATCGGCAAAGAACTTCTTCACCACCCCCATCGTCGTCGCCTTCCCGAAATACGCCGGCGGGAGCACAAGCAAGTAATTCGCGCCCGCGGCCGCAGCATCATGCGCTAACTCAAGCACCTGCTTTGTGGAGTGGGCACCCACACCCGCCATGAGCGGGAAATCGGGGCCGACGGCTTCGCGAGCCGCAGCAATGCATTGGGCGCGCTCTTCGCGGGTGAGGAGGAAGGCCTCGGAGTTTGTGCCGAGGATGACTAGTCCAGCTAGTCCAGTCTTAGAGAGGTAGGAGTAGTATTTCTTTTGTGCGACGAAGTCGATTGTGTCGGTGCTGTGGTCGAAGAAGGTGATGGCGGGACACCATACCCCGGCTTTGGGGACGTGGGGTTGCGGGGTGACGTGGGAGCCCATCTTTGATGTGTTCTTGCTTCTCTTCCAAAACAAGAAAAAAAATATGTTCTATAATTTTATAATAAATGTAGAAAGTAAAAGTAGTAAACGATGTAATGTAGAATGTGATCTTTAAATAATTGGACTACATGACCATCTCAGGATAATGAGATCTTATATAGTCATCGCAAAGCGGGGAATCGCAGGAAAAGTTTCCGTGCTCGGGATGCAATACCGAGATTTTGCCCGCTTATCGTCCGCTATCAACGGAGCTTTGGGCCGAGATCTCCAATTCGCGATTTCTACTGGGTGGTGTGTCCTTCAGGCTGTTTCTGGGGTGTGGTTCTATGACGTTGAAATGGGGATTCTGGTCATTTGGGGTGGAGGACATTGGTCGGGAGTGGTGCCGGTCGTTGATTCATGTTCTGTTGCTTCTTACTTTGTAGATCGGTGTAGTTATCTACGTTTATATCTACTTTCATGCACATACATCACACGTACGCTTACTGGCGAGGGGATTTTGTACAACTTTTACAGAAGAGATCACGGTGACAAGTTTCGTTAATAGAGTTCAATTAACTATGCATAAGATGGCGCAATGAAAATCCCATCTGTGAATGCGATCGAAAGTCAGGCCGTCATATGTTATCATCCCGTTCGTTGGTTGATTCGGTTAATGTCGCTGTAAGTCTAGTTTAATGCTATGAAGATGTCAGTGGACGGTTATTCCATAAGAGATAAGGGGCGAGCTTACCGTGATATCCTCCCATTTCTCCCAGCCGCGTCCCTTCACCTCGGCCAGTTCCTCCATGGTATACTGTCGCCCCGTCGTGAAGTATCCGGCGTTGATCTTCGCATCGATCTCAACGCGCGAGTCATCGGGGATCATATCTTCGGGAATGGGGACTCGTTCGAGGATCTTGATGCCCGATTGGACGATAGCGTCGTGTTTCATGTTGGACATGGAGAGCATGCGGTCGATCTTCTTGATTCCAAGCCAGTGGAGAATGTCGGGCATGAGAGCCTGGAAGCGCATCTAGATAGGATGTCAGTATGGTGATAGTAGGTAGGATAAAGTTAACGTAATGACATACATCTCTCACACCGGCGATGTTCTCCGTGCGCGTAAAGTATTTATCGGCCGTATCGCCGCCACGCTTGCGGGCGTTGTACACCAGGTACTTGATGACCTCACCCAAGGCACGACCTTCTTTTCGGAAGTAGATAACAACACCACTGCCTCCATTCTGGGCTTCGCGGATCGCCTCCCGGATACCGAACGCCAGATAAGGTCGGCATGTACAGATATCAGACTGGAAGACATCACTTCCATTACACTCATCGTGGATACGTAAGGCCAGCTTCACGTTCTCATCCGACACACGCTCGGGCGGTCCAAAGATATACACCGTCAGACCACCAATAGGCGGTAAGAAGATCTTGAGATCCGGCCGAGTGATCAGCTCCGGGTAGCTGCCGCCCGTGTGTTCGAAGAGTGTCCGACGCAGGATCGGTTCCGAGACACCGAATCGGTCCGCAACTCCAGGGAGATACCACACCGGCTCGACGGCGACCTTCGTTACCCGGACTTCACCCGAGGAATCTACTACGATTGAACCATCGACGTCGAGCTTCCCGTCTCGCACTGCCTCGCCGATCTCCGCCAATTTCATATTAGCTCGGGTCACAGCCATGGTAGGCCGGATATCCCAACCGGCGTTCAACTCATCCCGGAATTGGTTGACGATGTCGTGACCGTAGGGATCCATTGCCACGATCTTGTCTTTGTCAGCCCAGGCGGGTTGCCAGGGGAAGTTAAAGGTGGGTTCGCTGTTCTTGAAGTCCGGACGGAAGTCAGGGGGAAGGTCGCCGGCAGCAATGGCCAGGGCGTTGTAAATGCTGTAGCTACCGCCATGGGCGCCCATGGCATTGCGTCGCTTGAGCAATGGCCCACTGCGTGAGACCACGACTGGGCCACGGGATTTGGCGTCCTTTGCACCCCAGTTTAGGGGCACGGGGTCTATGCCACTTTGCCCGGGATAGGTGGTCAACTAGGTCATAGATCAGTGTGTGGGGAACTTTGCGGAGGAGAACTATGGGTTCCCACTTACGACGATATGGGTGCTATAATGAGATTCTGGTGAAGGAGCGGCCTGGACGCTTGTCCCGTCAGCCCTGGTCTTGTCGGGGCCATCCGTGGTCATATTTGCTGGTGGTGATTAGGATAGGTATAAAGACGGAGGAGGAGGTAAGTGCAGAAGAGAGGAGGAAGGGAAAGGGTAACCAAGGGATATATAGTACGTATGAAAATGAAAAGCAGGGAAAAGGAAAGCAGAAGAAGCTGGTCTCCTTTTGCAGCTGCATTCCTCCCTTACAGCATGTGACCTGTGAATTGGTACGGTAATCATTGACTTGAACCTTCTTTCATTCTTTGGTCTCTCCGCACCTTATCGTATCGGATGGATCCCTTATCATTGTTCTTCCCCTCTATCGATAGTGACCGACTTATCTCCTGCTTTATCTCCCCGATCAATACAATCAACTCCACCAGAAATGATAGGCTTGAAGTAGATATCCCATATTAATTGTCCCCGTACACTCCTGGTCCGAATTTATTTTACCTTGAGCACACATTCCCGAGGGGTCTCAGTCTCCGGTCTTCTAAATGCAAGATGATGTTGGACTGAATGCAACGCGGGGCTGCGGCAAATCAAACCCCCTCATTCCAAGAATCTGGAATGACCTGTCGACTGCTACACTGGAACCACGTTACTCGACATCAAAACCCAACCGAAGCTGCTACCTGATCGGTCCTCCTCGGGGGAAGTCACCTGATAGCTGATTACTCAATCTACATTCGATCCCCGATGGACTACTAGTAGATTTGCGGATATTTGACACTTTGGTACACTAGCGTCCGTCTCTCTCTCTATATATTCATCTCCATTAACCATCAACCATACCAATTCCTCTAATAAGCGTACGTTATTTTCCAAAATTTGAAAATCTTATAAGACCCCCATAAAAGCTTAGAGTTTCTAAATATGCATTTTACGATCTCCTGCATGAGCTGGGCTAGCGCTACAGATTGTCAAGTGATGCAGAGCTCGACTGCACGTGACCTCTACGGATCTACTTGCGACTATGAGATTACAAAAATTCTAATCACCAACAAAAATATAGCAATAGGATATCTACAGGTTGATTGAGATTCTCAAAATATGGTCATGTCGTTGGTATCTATGGTTCTTTGGGACTTTTCCTCCACATAAGAAAACCTCGTAAATCTTCACATCAGCCATCAATTAAAGCAATACAGGTCGCCGTGCTCCGCCCTCGCACTCTACCGCCCGAACTGCGCCTGGGCACGGGTGTTCTTGATAGTCTTCTTGATGATATCCTCCACTTCGTCCCAGTCCTTCGTATCGACCCGCTGGATAGTGCAGTTAAAGTACTGTTGGATCTGGTTGAGCATATTCCACTCCTCCCGGTTGGAAACGAAGGAGATCGAGACACCGACACGACCGAACCGTCCGGTACGACCGATACGGTGCAGGTAGGTCTGGAAGTCCGCCTGGCGCTCCCGCGCGCCAGGTTGGTGAAGCTCGGGAATGTCCTGACCACTAGATTAGCACTGATTTCTCTGAATGGCGGCAACGCTTCATCATTTCGACTCACATAGTTAATAACCATGGACACCGTAGAGACATCAATACCTCTGGCAAGCACGTTGGTCGTAATCAACACCTTAGCCTGGCCCGCACGGAATTGATCAATGACAGCGTCACGCTGAGAACCCTCGATACCACCAGTCAAAGACGCAACAGTATGACCTTCGGCGACCATACGCTTCTCAATCTCGACGGCGGATGCTCGTGTCTATGAACTGTTAGATGAGACCTGATGACGAAGGAGGGCCACCAACCTTAACGAAAATGATAGAGGAGGCAACGGTAAGAAGACCGTAAAGTTGAACAAGAGTCTTATACTTATCCTCCTCATCGGAGCAGTCAAGGTAAAGTTGCTTAATGCCCTCGACGGTCAGCTCTTCGTGCTGCAGCGTAATTTCGTTGGCCTGCGGGGCGAATTTGGACGCATATTGGTGAACGTGGGTGGGGAAGGTGGCGGAGAAAAGAACGACTTGGATATCCTTTGGCAGCAACCTGTGTACGGTTAGCTGAAACTGCCCTAACTTAATAACAGGGAAGACCTAGGAACTCACGCCTTGACACGAATACACTGGTCGCCCAAACCCTGTTGGTCGAGCATGTTATCCGCCTCATCCAAAACAAGAACCTTCAGTTTATTCGCAACCATGATACGCTTCTTGATCATATCCATGACTGTTCCAGGAGTACCAACGACAACGGAGGACTCGATCTTCGAATGGCGACTGTTAGTGTCTGCAGGAACGGCTGTGGAGATGGAAAGACCGTCCAGGAACTGGCCCATCACCTGGACGACACCAACGATCTGACGGGCCAGCTCTCGGGTTGGAGCCAAGATCAGAGCCTGGGGCGTCTTTTGCGCCTGTTCTGTTGACAGGTCTAAGCGGCTAAGGACATTGAGGACGAACGCGGCTGTCTTTCCGGTACCCGACTGGGACTGGCCGACCAGGTTCTTCGGAGGGTTGTTCAAGAGCAACGGGAGCGCTCTTTCTTGAATCTTTGAAGGTTTACGGAAGTTCATCGCAGACAGTCCTTGCAAGATGCGATTGTCCCTGATGATCGACACGTCTTTAGCGGGGATAGGATGGCAGATCCAAAGCACAAGGTTTTACATACAGTCCAAGGTCCTCGAAGCTCTTCACGGAAAAAAGAGGGTTGTTAGGATCCGCCTGGAGATCGCTAAGTTTGACTTCGACCGTGTATTCAGGCTCGTTAAGTTCCGAGCCGCCCAACTGTGTGGCAGCGCCATCGGCCTGCTCATTGTCGGTCTTTTCGGTAGTTTCTGCACGGAGGTGACGTTAGCAAATGTCGTATGGATCACGTATGGCGACTGCTATTGGCAACACGGAATGACGCATACCTTCGGGTTTCGATCCATCGGCCGTGGTGATGCGATCAGCCAGAGGGTTACCAGCGGAGGCAGTTTCAGTAGGCTGTTCTGCAGACATTGTGAAGGAGCTTTGCGGAATAGAGAAAATTAGGTGATTGGACGAAGGCTGTCAAGGCGAGGCAGAGGCGATCAAGACGGTGAAGAGAGGGCCGCGGGGTAAAGCGAGCTCGCCGGAACAGAAAAGATCGATCGGGAGAGGTATGTGGAAGAGAAAGTGAAAACCTCTGTAGTAAAAGGGTTGGAAAGACTAGGTATTGAGACAGTCTTCCTCAGACGCAGAAGCTAAGAGTAGTACCACAGCAGCTATATATGCGCCTGGTAGGTATATTTCTCAGAGGGACGTGACGACCGCCAAAAAACCCAACACCTACCGCCCAGCATACTGCAAACACACTATTCCTGGTTAGGCGAACGATCGAGCAGATATCATCTAACGTTATACGGAAGGCGGTGGAGGGTGTGGTTCAGTACGGACAGCCATGACGTAATATTACGCCTATCTTGGCCCTGGTGGGCGTCCGAGAGCCGCCAACGTGGCCTGAGACAGTCGTTCGGTATTGTCACCGGCGTTACTCCAGCCATCTTCCCCGCTTCGGCCGACCCCTTCAGGTAGATAGATTGTCAGGTACAGATGCGCTTAGCGGTTGGCCACTCCTTTCTTCTCCAAAGCGAAGTCACGACGAAGCATTCCCGTCGCACAAGACAAGACAGCACGTGGAGGTACGTGGCAGAGTCGGTTCCAATCATAGCTGCCTAAATCTAACAGATTTGTGTCTTAAAGTCTTGTCCTTGACATCAAAAAGTCTCATGCGCGCGATCTCTGAGGGGCTGTCACATCTACAATGGCAACACCCGATGTGGCTCCTCAATTTGGAGCGGAACTAAAGGTACTCACCGTTCAGATACGATGAGAAGGGTATATCTAACGCGAATCTACAACAGGATGCATTCAAGCCAGTCAACAATTGGGTATGTTTCCTTTGTCACTTCCCACGACTACCTCCATGCTTCACTGAACACAGTTTTGGCATTGATTCTAGCAGACTGTTACTAATAGCTCTTCTGACTAGGTCTCCCACGGGGTACAATGGCTCGACGAGATACAACAGTTCTACCGGGAACGGAGCGCCATCGAAAAGGAGTACGCCGCCAAGCTGACGGCCCTTTGCCGAAAATACCACGATCGCAAAGCCAAGAAAATAAGCGCATTGAGCGTCGGAGATACTCCAACCATGACTCCAGGCTCCCTCGAAAGCGCCTCACTTACCACTTGGACTACGCACCTGACAGCCGTTGAATCGCATGCGGGGGAACGTGATCAGTTCGCTACAGACCTCGTTTTCCAGGTTGCGGAACCTCTGAAACAAGCTGCGACGCAATATGAGGAAATCCGAAAGTCTCACGTCGAATTTCATGCGAAGCTGGAAAAGGAAAGAGACGCTGCCTACGGCGACCTCAAGAAGGCAAAGGGCAAATACGATGGGGTGTGCCAAGAAGTGGAGGGTAGGCGGAAAAAGATGGAGAATTCGTTCGATCATAGTAAACCCAAGGCCCAGGCTGCATATCAGCAGCAGATCTTGGAAATGAACAACGTCAAAGTTGGTAGCACCTTTCTGCCTGAAGACCGTTACTAACCGAGGCAGAATACGTACCTCATCAGCATCAACGTGACGAACAAGTTGAAGGAACGGTTCTACCACGAATACGTCCCGGAGCTACTAGATGTGAGAAAGGACCCGAGGGGTCGAAATCCATATAGCTAATACTGTTTCCAGAGCCTGCAAAACCTCAACGAAATGCGCGTATCCAAGTTGAATTCGCTATGGTCACTTGCAGCGCAACTGGAGAAGTCTTCTCTGTCTAAGAGTATGGAACATATGTCCCATCTACTCAACGAAATCCCACGGAATGTCCCACACCTCGATTCACTCATGTTCTTGCGCCACAATGTCAGCCAGTCACAGGAACCACCTAACATGACCTTCGAGCCGAGCCCTATTTGGCACGATGACGAAGCGCTTATCACCGACGAGACTGCAAAGGTCTTCTTGCGCAACCTGCTCAGCAAGAGTAAAACGCAAGTTCGGGAACTAAGGGTCGAGGCCGACCAGAAACGCAGGGACGTCGAAACATCCAAGCGGATCCGCGAGAACATCCAACAAGGCAAAGACAACCGTAGCGAGGTCGATATAGTCCGATCTATCTTCTACCTGCAGGGCGCTTTGCATGAAGCGGAGCGCAAGAAGCTCACTGCCGAAGTCGAAACATCTACGATTATGTCAGTAGTAGGTGATCTATCGTTGGGTGCCAAGAATCACAACTTCAAGTCGCAAACGTTCAAAATCCCGACCAATTGTGACCTCTGCGGGGAGCGGATATGGGGACTCTCGGCGAAGGGGTTCGATTGCCGGGATTGCGGGTATACTTGTCACAGCAAATGCCAAATGAAAGTCCCTGCCGAATGTCCTGGCGAACAGAGTAAGGAAGAGAAAAAGAAGCTCAAAGTGGAACGACAAGAACAGGCCAATGCTACGCCACAACTCGACCTTGAGCCGACAACGACTGGTTCATCTGCCGCGCCGTCCCTAACTCGGAAGGATACGATGAACTCATTGAGTTCTGGGTATGCAGTTAGTGCTAACCGGTCGTTGTCCAACGCCGCCAGCCAGCCCGCGTTGGCTAGCCCGACCGAATCGGCTGTTCCATCCCCAGTGCCAGAAGCGGCGGCAACTCCGGCCCCTGTTCAGGAGACCAAGCCTAAGAGAAATAGGGTTTTAGCTCCACCACCTGCACAATATGTTAAGGCTCCGCCAGTAGCTGAATCAACGAAGCCAAGCGAACCACGCGGGAAGATGATCTATCCATTCCAAGCCGGAGGGGCCGACGAGATAACCGTTCAAGACGGGGATGATGTAACTATTGTTGAACCGGATGGTGAGGTTTCCCGCATGTTCAAGAGAAATGTTGCAGCCTTACTGACTTTTCATCCTTAATTAGATGGGTCTGGATGGATGCGCGTCCGTGTTGGCTCGGCCGAGGGTCTCGTCCCAGCCTCCTACGTGGAACCGGCACCCGCGGCGTCCGTAGCGCCTGCGAGCCCCGGGATGGCTGACCGCCCGGGGTCCACTTATTCCAGCTCCTCTGCCTCAATGGTAGGTAGTGCTGCGGGCAAGAAGGTTGGACCAGCTGTGGCTCCTCGCCGGGGCGCTAAGAAGCTCAAGTACGTGGAGGCGTTGTACGACTACGAGGCTCGCAGCGACATGGAATGGAGCATGGCGGAAGGCGATCGCTTTGTGCTGGTCAACCGAGACAGCGGTGACGGATGGGCCGACGTGGAAAGAGGGGGAGTGACCAAGAGTGTGCCCGCCAACTACATCCAGGAGGTGTAGTTGGATCTATCATGGTCGATCAGTCGCAAGATTCCGTGTTGTACCGATGTATATACACGCACGGAAGGTATATTTTCTGTCTGTCATTTGCATTGGGGAGCCCGGAGCTGAGGTTTATTATTTTTGGGTTAGCGGTCTGGCTATTGTTAGTATCCCTCTTTGTTATTGGCCGCTGCACATCCTGGCATATCATGTAGCAAGCATTCGTCTCGGCTGTATAGAAGTTGGCAGTTCTATTTTTCTCGATGAGCATAGCATTTGTCTTGAGGTCGCAGACCTATGTACTTGACCATAATCTATGGTACTGGCACGAACATATATGCATGAAAGAATGTAACCCCCCTTAAGCATACAAGCTAAATCCAAAAAAAGAGAGAGAACAACCCACCCAATGATAAAAACACAAGATCATCACTCATCATCGTCATCGTCATCATCGTGAGAAACCTTTTAGAGCCCATCCCTACCGATCCCACCCACCACAAATGTTAGAGCGCATTCTCCGACAACCACGACCAATCCTCCTGCAGAACCTCCCTCTCCAGCGCCCCAACATCCAAATCCTCCAACGAGAACCCCCCATTCCCGAACTCCGCCTCCCCAAACAACAACCGCCCCGTCGGATCCGCATCCAACGGACTAACCATCGACAGCGACACAGGCACATCGCCCATCGAGCACAACGCCGGCGCCACAAACTCGCCGCCGGTGAACGGCAGCGCCATACTCGACCGTGCAAACGATTGGTGCAGCTCCGACTGTAACGGCTGCTGCAGCAGTTGCTGCTGCTGTTGCTGGGGCGCAGACACGACGGGACTCGAACCGGCCATGATCTGGGGACGACTCTGGGGGCTCGGCGAATTCGACGACGGTCTCGGCGCAATGGGAACTAAGACAGAATTCGAACGCGAAGAGACTCTAGCGGCACCTCTCTGGAACAAGCGAAACTCAATGAAACAACCCAACATCAGCCTGCGGTGTTTTATAACAAAATGTTTGTGCCAGTGTGTATATGTGTGTGTGTGTGGCTTATATGTGATTTTGGTTTTTCTTCATTCAGAGTTTCTTTTTTTTCTTTGTTTTGGTTATAGGTTTAGAGGGGTCTCAGGTGGTGGTGCTTGGTCACATTGTACTTTTGAAGAGGATTTGGCCTCGGCCTCGCGTTTGAGCTTGGTATGCTCTTCTGGTGTTGGGCAGGGGGTGTTGTTGCATACGGAGCAGGTGGAGAAGGGTCGACCTTTCCGGTTGATGCGGATTAGCGGTCGATCTGGGGGTTTGGGGGTCGATAGTTAGATATTTTATCCACGATGGAGAGTGAGGAGGTAGACAAGAGACACACACCATGATGTTTACAAGTCGTCACACGGTGTCCGCGGACGCAAGCTTCACAAGCCCACTTTTCACCGTCGATGAGCATCCCTTGAGGAGTATGAGCGGATCGACGAGCATGGTAGACGGGTGACGGCCAAATTTATACGTGAGCAGAGGGGTTTCAAAGCGGAGATAAAAAAATAAATTAAAAAGAAAGAAGAAAAAAAAAAAGTCAAAAAGGTAAAGATGCATCACAAGAAAGAAGGGGAAAAAAAAAAAAAAAAAAAAA